CGAAAAATCACAGCCAGCAGCGGGCATCTATGGCACAACTTTGCATTGTCGGGGCTTTTGTTTCAAAGTGCCATGGCGTATACGCAATTTGTTTGCACATCTGTGTTATCTGTGTGTGTGTGTGTGTGTGTGTGCGCGTGTGTGTGCGTGGGACTGCCTATTGTAATTTGGCGCCATTATTAAAAATCCTTTATGATGCCAGCGACAGCTACGGCGACAGCAGCAACCGCAGCTCAGCTTTCAGCAAACGCATTTTGTGTGTTCTAATTGCACCATTAAAAGATGACAAACGAAAGCTGGAGTCCCGCAATCCCGTTGTCCTGTGTAGTTGTCCTAGCTCGCAGACGCTCGCAAAAATGCCAAAAACAATAGCGCTAAGAGTAAGGCATTTAATATGGTTTTTATGCGTTGCCATTTTTATATACCCTATGCAGAGGGTACGCTCGTTTTTAAAAGTGTTATAATCGATCCCGATTTATTAATCATATACCCAAGACAAGCTAAAGAACTCCGCTCCGATTGTTTCCATCAAACCTATCTGCTCAGCCTGACAGCTTTACATTTTTTCATATTTTTGATTGGGTATTTCAATACCTCAAAGGGTATTTCGTTCTCGACAACCCGACAATAGCTGTTCATAATGTTTGTTTTGTTTTTCAGATTTTCTTCTTTTCTGCTTCTTTTCGGTGCACGGATGTCATAAATGGCATGCCTCAGGGGAAGGGGCTTAAGTATGTGCGTCGCTGCTAGTGTGTGTGTGTGTGTGTGTGTGTGTATGTAGGTGTGCTGCTCGCTAAAGTTTTCGCCAAAAGCCACTATAAATGTAATTTATTTTCGTATATTTGTGCAGCGGGTATCACCATCTGCAGGTGTTTTTTATTTTTTAATATGCTTAAGCACAAGCAAAAAGCCCCAAAGACAAATTTGCATTTTATTGCCTCACGCTCAAGCGGTACTCGTTTTGCTGCCGTATATAGAATAGAATCTCGTGAAAAAAGAACTAATCCCAAATTAAATAACTGAAAGTAGAACAGATAGATAGAACAGTGGCAACAGCAACAAAAAACCCAACTAAGCTCGGGCTAAATGGTCGGAGCTCTGCTCTTAAACCACTTGAGAATTGTAAGCACCCCAGTTTGGGCTTTATTTGCTTGACTGTGGTTATAGGATTAAGTGACATTTTGCCCTAGATCGATTCTAAATTACCTAAAACTAGATTATCACAAACGGATTATCATAGAGCTAATTAAATTTTTTTTTTCGGCACTAGACTTTTTTTTTATGTGAGGCAGGTTTTTCAATTCTCTCCACTGCGATCGTTAATAGAAGAGCAATTATTCTTGCATTTTGCATTGCACTTCTTCTGTAAATAAAAAGATATGAGCCAGTCCATATTTATTACCTCTGATAACCAGGCTTTATTTATCGACCGACGCTGAGCAATTGCCAAAATTAATTCAATTAGTGGCTAGTCCATCTTTTTTCCAAGCTAATAGCCTAATGAATTAACAGTTAGAACACTCGACATCTGGGATAAAAAGTCTTTTGGTCCCTTCTATCCCATTAAGTTGTACAGCCTCAGATCAATAGTCCGCTCTGGCTGCCTGTCCCACCCTCATTAATATATATTGGACTATAAAAGCTAAGCTATATAGGTTAAGGAATCCCTAATTTAGTTTCTTACTGCGCCGCAGTTTGTTTATTCCATTGGGACAATCGATAAAAATCGATCGATACACCGGCTTTTAGGAAAATACCTTGATAAATATTTGTATTAAATAAAAGTGGAACATAACAGTTATTCAGTTAATCGATTAAATTGTTTTGCATTCAATTCGGTTTATTTCTAGCATCTAACTATCCCATTTAATTGGCCTAAAACGCAGGGGCGTTAGCTTTGCGCTATTTTCGGCTTATTGAAAAATTTAACTTGTAATAAAATTTAATGACTTTGCGCTTTTTAATAAAAGTACGCCAAAGCTCCCCCCCCCCCCCTTTCACACTGCACCCGGTCAGCTTTTGCCCACAATTTAAGCGCAAATTTGTGTTCATAATCACAATTTTCGTACCTTTTCTTTTCTTATTTTTGGTGGTTCGTAATGACTACACAGAAAAGCCGGACGCAGTTCTGCCACGCCCTTAGCCACCACCCCCACCGCCCCTCGGGCTGTGCGTGCAATAAAAAGTAACGAGGCTGTTAGCATTAAGGCAAACGTTTGGACCGCGGCGGCGGTCAAGAAGTCAGCGGAGTGATTGAAACAAAAAAACCCACAGACTCATTGCCGTTAAGTCGGCGTTAATATTTAAATTTATATTGCGACCGCTGCCCTTTCACTGGCCCTCACCTTGTCGGACCATCAATTCCGCTTTTAATGCCTGCGCAAATATTTGCGCAATCAGCAAACAAAACAAGCGCCGTCGCCGCCGGAGTGTCCTCTGTTTGAGTAAAGCAATTGACCGTCGCTCTGGACACGTCAATTTACGTGCTGAACAACAGCAAGAACAGCAACCGCGATATAAAAACAACGGCCACTGCACAGCACCACAAGCTGTACTTCCGTTTCCGCTTGTCCTTGAACTGGCGGCGCGTGAGGCGTGCCTCACGTCGTGTTGGCCGCGTTATTTGTGCAACAAACAACAACTAACGCAGGTGTGCACACACACACCACGGCCTCATACCCGTCTAGAAACAGAAACCAGAGGCATTTGTTTTTGTGGCCAGCTGGCCGACTTATGTTGGCCCAAGGCGCGTGCCGTAAATAACCTGGTTAATCATTTAATTTAAGCACGACCACATGATAGCCTCATGCTCCCCCCTCTTCCACACTGCCCACGCCTGACGCACGAATTCAAATATATGGCGCTGCTGTCGCCTGCTGGGCCGAAAAGCCTTTCGACCCACTAAATTTATTGTGATTTGCTTTCTGCTGATTGCTGCCAGCCCATATAAATGCTGCGGGAAATCTACAACCAAAGCCAATAGCCAATTTTTATGCACAGTGCCCAGCTGTAAAAACGAGTATATTAGTTTTGTGCAGTACGCATTGCCATGTGTCTTAAAATATGTTATCAAAGTTTGAGCTGAAAACTTTGGTATTTATTCCTGCAGAGGCCCCCGCCTATTAATGCTTGTGCAAATTGAAAAAATCTTTTTCGATATTCACATTTGCATGCACAGCTGTATAAAATAGACTTAGTTAGTTTTTCTAGACAAAATTAACTGAGGTGCACTCTCTGCCCAGATCCTAGTCTAATTGCTTACTGTGGAGATTCCTAACACTAAGCGCTTTGTTATATTTTATGAGAAATTCCAATTAGAAATGCCGCAAGAAAAAGAAGAATATACTGCACTGGAACCTGCAGAAAATCTATCAAATTCTACTTAAAGCCGATTTGTAGGCAACTGTATGTCTCCTCTTTCAGAGCAAGTATCTTAATTTTATGGAAGAAATATATTCTGAGAAAAGCAAGGCAAAAATAGGCAATCTCTTCACATTGCAAAAAACTATGTGCCCTACAGTTTTAAAATTTATCACACCAAAAAAGAAGCACACAGATTTATATTCAATTCAGCTGTTGTTTTTCATCGTCACTTCTCTAACAATATGGGCATATATTTGTTCGTCTCCGTTAATCGCACTTCTAAGCCTTAGTGAGTATTATAGCCACAGTTTTTCGTTCACAATTAGTGAGCCACAGTTAAAAAGCTAACTGCATTCGCTTCTTGATGATTTTTTGTTATAGCCCTCTTTTCCCCAATTAATCAGCAAAGCTTTCAATACACTGAAGCGTGCACAGTGTATTCCGCAGTCGGGTGTTTACAATTGCAATATTTTTATCACAGTCTGGGTTGACATTTTGTTAATTGAATTTTCTCTTGTCCATGGGCCATATGCGCAGTGCTCGGAGGCACAGGTGCCCAAAGTGTTGCATACTTATGTGCGCGCATTTAAATATAACTTGCGCGCAGAGCCAGACACAGTTGCTGCCGCTGGCACGTTGCGCAAATGCAACTATTTACTATTTATTTACAACTTACATAAGTACGTGCTGGCTGCCCCTTATGCCCCGCCCAATTTCGCTAGGACTTGGCGCATTTTATACGCTAAAAGTCGCACACACAAAAATGCAAAAGTATAAACATTCTTGCGCTGGCAGCTGTAAAAGTTTTCGGTAAACGCATTTCAAACACTCGCTGAGATAGTTATTACAATTGTACACAAAAGTAGTAGCAGCAGCAGCAAACACAATGCGCGGGCAGGGCACGGGAGGGCAAGTTGGAAAACTTGCAGCATTTTCTTCAAATGAAATGCAAAATGCACAACGCTTCGACTTGCGTCGGGAGGGGGGGTTGCGGGTCAGGGGCTACAGCGTAATATTTACAAAGCAGTTTTCTTCTTTTTGTGGCGTGTTGCAAGATAGAAGCCATTGCTGAAGTGCAGTTAGCTTTGATCGGCATATGGGCGTGACGCTGCCAGCCGGATCTAGACGAGCACGCCGGAAGCAACGAGGGCGACGACGAGGACGACGACGAGGACGACGACGAGGACGACGACTACTGCTGTGGCAAACATCCGCTGGACAATTGATGGAAGCCTTGTTATTGTATGCAGAGCAGCGTACTCATGGCCCACTGCCACATGTTGTAAGTTTTGGTGCAAGTACCAGTGCAACAAGCATTTGCCGTGTGGAAAACTTTTGTGCAGCTGCTGACTAGCAACGGCCAGGATGAGCCTCGGTTCCGCTAGCTAGCGACTATACACAACTATATACGTATATAAATATCTCTCTCTCTCTCTCTTTATATATATATAGACATATATATATATATATACAGCCTTTCTTATTCTTTTTTCGTGTTGTTGTCGTAAGAGGTCCTGCGCATCGTCGCCTGATGTTTTTCGTTTCGTTTCGCGCCAGCAGCAAAGTGCACAGCGCAAAGTTTTGTTTACAAAGTTTTAAAATTTTTGTGGCACCCAGTTGAACTTCCTGCTGCCATGATGCCTGCCGCCTTGATGCCCGCTGCCTGCCACGTTAAGCGACATTCACTTCCCGCTGTTGATGATGTTGCCGGCAAACCAGAGCCGCGCTCTAGCACCCATCCCCGCAGCTGCCCTACAGCCATTGATAATCTAAGGGTATTTGCAACTGCTGCTGCTGTCTTCAATGAAGTGCACCTTTTTCTCTCTCCCCCTCGCCTTATCGCTCCTTTTCTCTCTCTCTAGACTGAGCAACTGCTGGCACATTGTCGCAGCCATTTGACTGGCTAGCACACAGACCAACAGCAGTTGGCAGAGATGGCAGCTGAGGAATGTGCTGCGGCTGTTAACTACCAATAATCCATCATTAGTGACGAGACACAAAACACGAGCTGCAATTATGTGGCTAGTCTATTACATTTTTGCTGTTAGTAAATGATGCAGAAAATGCAGCACTTTGCCGAATGCAGTCGACGGCTTGAGCTTGTGGATGTGGCACTTACTTTCGCGTCTATTTGCCTGCAGCACTTGAAGACGTCGCATCCTGCGGCTCCTTCGGCTTGTCATTGCGTGTAAAATTATGTCAACGCTTGTCAACTTTTATGTTCAGCAAAGAAGTTCAGTCAAGTGCCACACCCATCTCAGCCAAGGCGAGCTCAAGTGCCTTTCAGCATGCATTGAGTGAATGAATGAAAGTTTCTTTTGCCGCGCATGTTTACTTACCGAGTGTGCGTATGCGTGTTTCGTGTGTATGTGTGTGTGTGTCTCGCCGCCATTTGTTATTGACTGTGCATAAAGAGTGCAGTTGCAGTGGCAGTTGCACTGGCTCTGGCAGTTGCACAAAGTGTCTGCAAACTTTTTAAATTTAAATGTGAAATTTACGAAGCACACACACACACATTCACACCCCTGTTCGCATCCACTGGCAGCAGTCGTCCCTCAGTTGCGACTTTAATGTGGCAACTTTTGGTAACCTAACAAGTTTGGCCACGCCTACTTACTCTGGCGCGCATTAGCGTGCCACAGCTCAGTTTCTTATTAAAACTTATACTCACTTTTTTCCAAACTGTCCCGGCTAATTAGCTTTCTCCGCAGTCTGTTCTTTTTATTTTTTTTTTTTTGCTTTTTTTGCTTGCGTAATTTGCAGCGTGCTGGCTGCGAACGCCATTTCGCCTGCCGTCTGCCCGAATTTACACGCTATTTTATGCTGCCACAAAGCGCAGCGAGCCGCAGCGGCATCGATGCATGAAATTTCGCTTGGCCTCGTTTGGAATTTATCTTAAATATCTGAATAGTTAGGTAGCCAAACTTTTGCTATCCCAAGTAGTACACAAATCGTAATCGTATATCCATTATATCGTTTGTAATATACATATGTTCTGCAAATTAATGTACATAAATAAGTAGAACTAAACGAACTAATCAACATTAATTTCTTTCTTTTATTTTCCTTACCTTAGTTTCACTCTTCTTTTAAGCACTTGTATCCGTTTGAGCGATTAGTTTTATATGCATATAGAATATATTATATATTTATTAATACGACACCAGCTCTGACACGCCCGCGGACATATCAAGAACCGGGCACACACACACCCAAATAACTGACGCACCACGTTGTTAAGCAGAAACACACACACACACACACTCACACACACTCTACATATAAGCAATATATAAATATATATCTCATACACAACTTATATGATAAGTGTCTACTCTTTTCCTTTTTTTCGTCTCTTTTTACGCTCTGAAATTTCATTTTCCGATAACAACCACAACAAATGCGCCCAACAACAAACCACACACGCACACCACCAACCGCTAACTATGACATAACAACAACAACAATAACAACCACAACAATTGCTATGTGTTAACCACCAAAACCACCACCAATACCAACACCACCTACACCACCTCCAATAACACAATCAGAGCGTGCCAGTGCTGCGCACATTTGGCGGGCATCACATCGCGTAGCGGGAACTTAACGTGGCCAGCACCACCAACATCAACAACACAGCAACAGCAACAACAACCACCACATGCTCATCGTCGGCAACCACCATAACCACGCCCACAGGCACACCACCATTGCCACCGTTGCCAAACACGTTTATAGCCATCAAAACGAAGAACGACGCCGTCAACAGCAGCAACAACAACAACAGCAACAACAGCAGCAACAGCCTCACGCTGCAAAGTGGCAACAATAGTTTTAAATCGAACAGCAACACAAACAGAAGATCGCCAATTGGCCAGCAGCAACAGCAGCAACCGCCGCCGTTGCCAATGAAAAACGGCGCCAAACAGCAACAGCAACCACAACAACACGACAATTCACATTATCAACATCTGAGCTACAACATGACACATCTGCAACACTTTAATGCACGCCCGAACAACACACTCGATCGCAAGCACATGTCACATCCACACAGTGAAGCCAATGCTGGCGGTGACTACTGTACGCAGATAAATCCGCACTATCTGCAGACCTTCGACAGTCTCGATCCCGATCATTATAGTGTGGCCAATCTGCACGCACATCCGCATCGCAGCCAGTCAAAGTCGCAGATCTATAGCTATGGCAGCAGCGGTACCGCCAGCGATACATCCAATCAGCAGCAGCAGCAGCAGCATCCACAGTATCACAGCAGCAGCAACATAGCGCACATTGAACACCACTACCAGCAACATAGCCACCCACACCAGCAACAGCTGCAGCTGCAGCAGCAGCAGCAACTGACACACCACCACCAACACCACAGTCTGAAGCACACGAAACACAGCAAGGGCCACAAGGGCAAACACAATTCCAAGAACAGCAAATCTCAAGATGATTTCAAGGCCATACACAAGCAGCAGCAGCAGCAGCAGCAACAGCTGCAGCAGCAAAAGTGCAGCAGCAACAGCAACAAGCAGCAGCACAGTAAACGCTCTAGCAACAATCAGTTGTTGCCACAGCAGCCGCAGCAGCAACACTATTCTAGCTCCAGTGATAGTTTACCATTTGATAATAACTATTATTAAAAATGCAACCGCACACACACTGCTACACAACTACACACCCACGTACACACACACACACACACACGTACACACGTATTGCTCTCTTAGTTGTAGAATGTTGTCGTTGCCCAAAACACAAAGTCGTATGTCGAAAACGCACACCAACAACCAACGCAATGTGTCAATGCACTCACACACACACACACACACACATAAACGTGCACATATATACTTATACACTTACACATTAAATATTAGAATCGGGTTTTCACTGTCCGAAATAATTTGCAACATGGCGTATACGCAACATGCCAAAAACGTTGCCTACTTTTGTGCGCGACCAAACACCAACACACACTCGCACACAAATACACTCACAGACACATACACAAAGTCATATTTCTAATCGATGCTGCTCTGCTAATGGCAGCTGTTTGTGTTGTTGTTTTATTGAATTGAACGTTAAAAGCCACAAAATATTTAAATGGATTTAGCATAAAATAAATACAATTTGAATAGTTTACATAATTAAATTAGACAGTAGTTGAAATACCAAAAATTACGCAAATATTTATAAGCCATAAGTTCGAATATGAAAGTAATTACAAAATTAATGATATTTGCATTCAAATGTTGTAGGTTTTATAAGCCAAAAGTCATTTATTGTTAAATGTGGTCAATATATGTGTGTATATATATGGTATATATAAGCTAATGTACTTAAGATATATTTAGAAGTTAAGAAGCGTCCTTCCTAATTTACCGACCCTCTGCCCATGACTCACCAAATAGCCAATTTTCCGACGTAGTCGGTCAGTCGCACAATCCCGCTCTTTATTTCTCTCTCGCTCTCTCTATCTGTCTGTCTCTCTTGCAGCCTTAGCTAATCAGATGTTTATTTATTTATTTCTATAACAATTTGCTTGAATTAACTGCCAACAACTCGTACACAACAACAACAACAAAACATACAACAACAACAACAACAACAACAACATACAACACCCCTCCCATACACAGTCGTCCACTTTGGCCAGCGCCAGCGCCCACGATGAGCTTGGCAATCTGCTCTGGCAGCAGGAGGCCACCGAATTCATTGAGCAGCTTCCCTGTGCTGCCCCCCGCTGCCCGGTGCCGCCCATACGCCATTGCCACGCCCACGCCCACGCTCATGTCCATGGCCATGGTCGGGCAAGCAGTGTGGGCGGGGGCGGCGGCGAGCTGCTGTCCACACAGCAACGCCATCAGCGCGACATGTTCAGCGGCGACCTGGGCATACCCGAGATCAACACACACGTGGGCAGTGTTGTGCACACCTTCGAGACGCTGGCGCTGCAGCGCCGCCTGGCTGAGGCCGAGCAGGATCGGGATCGGGAGCACAGTAAGTATGAGCTGCGCACGAGTAACAGCAACAACAACAACATCAGCCAAAGCCAAAGCCAAAGCAAATACAACCAGGTGAAGCGCAAGTCGCAGGATCTGCGTCAGCGTCTGCAACAAATGCACCGTCAGAAGCAAAAGCTGCAGGCACTGGCACAGGCACAAGCACAGTCACAGACACAGTCACAAAATCATCATGGCCACTGCATACTAAGCGCACCCGCACCTGGCAAGCTCATCAACAGCTGCAGCACCCAGAGCCTGGCCAGTCAATTGGCCACGCCACGGCCACGACCAGCACCCACAGGTGCACACTCCACGGAGCAGCTGCGGCAGCCGTATGGCGGCATTGCGGACGACTATCGCAAGAATCTGTTTGGCACCTTGGTGTCTCAGCGGCGTGCACGGAGCAGCCTGCAGCAGTCCAGCGAGGAGGAGCTGCAGGATGAGACGTACATTGTGAATGCGGCCTTTGATGAAATATTCGCGCATTACGATGACGATGGCGAGGAACTGGAGGAGATGTGCAACACGCAGCAGGAGACGAGTCGCAGCTACACCAACGACAACACCAACACGGATGACCTATTTGACGATGAGCACATGCTGGTCAGCCTGAGCGAGCTGGACGACGACGTGTTTGCCAGCCGAGCGCAAACGGCCTCCACCACACCCACGACAGCGGGCGCCGGCCGCACGCCCAAGCATAGTCATCCGTTACAGAAATACCCGGCACCGGCGCCGCCGCTCCAGCAGCGCTCTAGCACGTTCAACAATCTCTTCGAGCGCTTTAAGGGCAACTCATCAACGGTGGCGGCGGCAGCAATTGCCAAGCATCCGCTTAACAAAACGCACTCTGAGCAGCAGCTGCAGCCTTTGCCGCTGGCTTCGACTCCAACGAAGCTGCACAAGTACGCCGCACAGCCGCAGCTCAATGCGGAGCCGGATTTCAATCGGGGCTCCACGCTCAGCCAGTCGTTTGTGCGGCAGCTAAAGCGCGTCTCCTACAAGCAGAAGCGCGCACCACCCGCACCGCCGCCCAAGCCGCGCTCCAATGTGGCGCATGTTACACCGCTGCGTAATGCTCTGATCTTTCCGAAGCGCTCCAAGTCATCCAACGAGCTGTTGCTCGACGATCTGAATGTGCAGGCACGTAAGTATTTTCGCCGCTCGGAGCACAGTGCAGCGGTGTAATGGAATACCGGACCATACTGGAGCCAGTGCACTGTTTCTTACCTCTCTTTTGCTCACCCCCTTTATCCACACTAGCTATTAATCTTTGTGACTGAATCCGCTCCCATAAGCAGATCAAATGATAATCACTTTTCTATTGATTCAATTTTTGGCAGAGGCGACGCTCTTGTAGACTAAGTGTCCCGATAACCCGCCATAATGAAAACCGCCAATGACCCACGATTCCGATACCAATAACGACCCCGATACCATTACAATCTAGCATTACCTAACCAGAAACAGCCGAGGATTGAGCGTAGTGAACCCGCCGCCGCTAAAATATAATGAAAGGAAGCAAAAGTTTCTCCAAATGGAAAAGCTAAAACGAACCCAAAGAGATTCGCGCCATAATTGGATTGAAATTTGCCAGCACTCGTAAAGCCAGCTAATTGAGTAAATTACCAAAATAATAAGTACTCATTATTGCGTTTATGAAAAGCTCGTTTATAGAGAAATCAAATAAAATATGTACTTATAAGTCAACTGCTTAAATGTACTTAAATATGGATATGCATATACATATTTCTCAATTTATATACATATATATATATATATACATATATATACATATAAGCTGCATGTGAATCAAAATATTTAAAATATAAGAAAAACCCCTGAAATCATTAACAATATGTATTTATGTACAAAATTGAAAATTTTCAAATCAAAGAATTTGTGCCCTCAAAACTTATGCATGTTATTTATGTAATTTTTGAAATCGTAAATCATCTATATATATATATGTATATGTATACAAAGTTCACATATATATTATAAAACCGCGTATAAAAATACTTACTAATGTGGCCAATTGTATGGCGCATAACAAGCATTTGTGTAATTATGTAATCTGTTGTAACTTGTAGACTAAAAATAACAAAAGCAAATGTAAACCCATTACGAGAAAGAGAACATACCTTAACTTATGTGCATGCAATAAAAAAAAAATCAAAAATAAACTCAATGTGTTTGTTGTTCAAGTCCTAGTAGGAGAATGTATCTATGGGAGAAAATATTATTATTTATTTTAATATTTAAGGGTAAGTAATAACTAAGTACGTAAAAACTAACTAGCTAATTTAGCATGCACATTATTACATAAGTGTTATTAGGCAATACATAAGTCAGCATCTACCAGCTTATTTAACAATCACTTTACAATGTTGTTTTACTTGGCCGGTATGATAAGATAGTCCGCAATAGGCTTTTCGCATATGTTGGCTATTTTAGACAATCCTTAAAAAAGTTGTACATACAAGGACTATGGAAGTATGGAAGTTTAATGTAGATATGATCGATTGGTCCCAAATCAAAACTTAAGTTTACCACATGGTAGTACTCAGCAATAAAATAAAATATTCTTTCATAATATATCATACACAAGTGTATTTCCCGATATGCATTGGCAACAATTTTACGTAGCGTTGCGAGATGTCCAAATAACTTTCTTAGCACTGAAGATTACAACTCGCTTTATTATATTTAACCTAGTGACATAACCTATCAAGGACTTAGGTGGTAAACCTGCCTTATTTATTTACAAGAATCAAGTACCTTAATGCTCCAACTTCTGTTGCATCACGTTTTAATGCTAGTAACTACGAAACCACTTCCTCCGTTGTTTGAGTGCCCGCACGTAGGCAGGACTTGAGTTGATGCTTCTTTAGCTGGATCATGCGGCTGAAGGTCTTCTGGCAGAGGTCGCAACGTTGTCGCCGCTCGCCAGTATGGATGCGTTCGTGAGTGCGCAGCACGCTCAACTGGGCAAAGCTGCGATCACAGAGGGAACACGCATATGGGCGCTCGCCCGTGTGGGTGCGTTTGTGCATCTCAAGCAGATAGACGCGGGAGAAGGTTCGCTGGCAGATGGTGCAAGTGTGTGGCCGTTCCGACGTATGCAACGAGGCAACGTGTCGACGCAGATTGCTTGACTCCACAAAGCCCTTGCCACAGTATGCGCACTCAAACTCCACCAGCTTTAGGTGTCTTTTCTGGTGGGCTACAAGTGCGCCATTCGTTTTGAAAGTCTTTGGGCAAACGTCGCAGACAAAGGGCCTTTCGCCATTGTGCAGGCGAAGATGCATAACCAGACTCGAGGCAGACTGCAGCCACTTGCCACAGTGAACGCAACGATGGTGCGCCCGCTGTGCTCGCACACCCTCGACCGGCACATCCGATCCGGTGCAACTGTGCGCTTCTAAATTGCTTTTCTGAGTAAAGCTGTGACCACATTGAGAGCAATCGTGGACGTCTGTTGCGGGATGTGCCTTTACAATGTGCCGCTGCAGCGTGGCTGCCTGCTGGAATACAGCGCCGCAATCATCACAATTGTAATGGGCATTGGATGGAAGCCCTTCAGGTGCGTTTTCTAAAGTTGTCGCTACTTTTTCATCTGGCACTTCCGTCTCGCATTCTTCGTATAATTCTACATGTTCGCTGGGATCGAATGTAATGATGTCATCCGCATTTATTATGTCCTCCTCATAATCGTCCACCACCAGCTCCTCGCCAGCCAAGACGTTAATAGCAGAAGCTGGCGCTGCGTCCTCTAAACGTACCAGCGTTCTCTGTTTTAGCGCCTGTTCCGTGGCTGCACATTTCTCCCGAAACTTGGCCGAGATCAGCAGCTCTTTTGTACACTCTTGGCACAAATACTTTGGATATGCATCCCATTTATCTACCTTTAATAAACAATTAAAAACATTTGTTAAGATTATATTTCGAAAACTCACTTTAATGTCGCCACAGCGCTCTAGTAGGGTGCACAGATCCGATTGCTGTTCTTCCACGTGCTCGTAGATGTCCACCATCAGCTCATCCTGCTTCAGGCAAACGCGACAAAGTAGCTCACTTAGCACTGCAGTCATCTCATTGTAATGTATTTATTCGCAATTTTGAATTTATTGTTTTCATTTGCACATGCGGAACTTTCGACCAATATTACGCACTGAGGCAAATTTAGTACGTTTTTAGTGGCAGCTGACTGCGCATCTATTATCGATAGGCCATGTGGCGCGTTATTCAAAAGTGCCATTTATTGGCAGTTGTGGGACATTCCACCTATATATCGCACTGAGGCAAATTTAGTACGTTTTTAGTGGCAGCTGACTGCGCATCTGTTATCGATAGGCCGTTTGGCGCGTAATTCAGAATTGACAGTTATTCTATCGATTATCTATTTTAGCACTTTGACTATTTGTTAAATTGAATTCTTTATAATGATGAATAATATGATAAAATGTTTTGTATTTAAACTATTCGTCACCCTAAGACCAAATAGTCGCGAACAAAATTTATATACTTTTCTTACGCCACAAATGAAACTTAATAAAACTAATAATAAGAGCAGCGCTTTATTTTATTTTCATAACAGTATGTAGTATACATTTATTATAATTTGTTTCTTATTACTCCAGCTCCTCAAAGTATCCCAGATGCAAGTAGCGTTTCAGATTACACCTAACATCCTCTAGATAATCTTCATTCAGGTAGAGGGTTGCCCTTAGTTCTCGATTTTCAATCACTTCAGAAATCTCAACATTTCCACTCTTCGTTGCATTTATCACAGGCAAAAGTGTTGTAAGCAAAAAGAATTCTGTGGGGTAAGGCCACTGTGAACAAACTATTTAATTCAAATAATGTGTTAAAAGCTTACCAAAAAACTTGTGTCGGAATAGCTGCTGCCGAAACTCGCATAAACTGGGTAATTCGCCGTCATAATTTAATTTCTTCAAAGTTTCCGTAAAAGTAGAGAAGTAAAAGTAAATTAACTCATCCCGATGGTTATGTCGTTGTTCTGGAGACAGCATCTGATAGATTGAGTAAATAATATCATTGGGCATGGGACCCACATTGCTCATCTGAAAGTCCAATAGCATACAGTCCTCCAATGCTCCGCTTCTTTTGTTGTACTTAAACATCAAATTCCTGAGATGAAAGTCACCGTGACATAGTACGTAATAAGCATTTTCTTGGGGATTCTGTCGATGCTCCATATAGGCTTCCCTGCAGCGTTTCATATAGACGGGACGCATTTTCTCAAAGTACTGCTTATAGACTGTAAGGTCTGGCACTGAATCCAACATATTGATGAAATGATCAATGCCATTCAACACGAAGTCATCTTTTTCGATTTTTGGAAGCTCGAACAAACTGTATTTGAATTTCTTCAGCAGCTCTGGCTTCTCTTTGTACCATTTATAGCTCACAGCATGCCATTTGGCTAGCTTACAATATGCACTACGAATCTCCTCACAAGTTGGCTCCCGATCCCGAAGCACGATGTAGCCCTGCGGCAACAGATCTTCAAAGATCATCACCTGTCGTGGCTTTAAACTGTGGTAGATGCAGGGTACGTGCAGGGTCGTCTCATCCCCAGCTTGTCGGAGTATTTCCTCAAACTTTGGCAATATTTCCGAGTACATGCTTATCTCTGTCTCAAAGATATGTGAATCGCCCAGCAGTTCCTTTTTGTGTCCCTCCTTTTCGGGCATGGTCTTAATAATCAGCGACTTGAAAGATTTTCCATTTTTGCTCTTATACTCCACGCCAGCTCTGAACATGACGCTTGCATAATGATCACCCTTGCCAGTGGCGGGTGAGATGTTCACATCAATTATCTCCAGCTCTTCATCATTTTCATGGGCACTTAACACCTCTTTAAAGTACTGCCAGTCCAGCCATGAGGGCGCATCCAGCTCATCCTGATTGAAAGATTCACTGTTTGGTGGCATTTCGTATATGAACCAGTTGGCTTCAGCTCTTGCAGATAACTCAATGTAAAGATTCAAAGGCAGCGTACTTTAATAGGCAGTCCAACCAATTAGCAGGAGGGCTTTTATATATCTCGTTATCAGTGCATATCTTAATAGCCCGGTTAGATTATCTTCAGTTTATATGTCTTGTTACTTGCATAGTCATGGCATACAATTTTGACGGCTCCCACAATCTTTTAATTACAACACATACTTCTGTGTTCATGACGATGTGAACTTTGTGTGCCTTCGTCACTATTGATTGATCTCAGATATTTTTTTTGTCCAAAACATACAAAACATTTTCTTTCAAGAAACGATGTGGGATCTCTCAAGAGAACACGAGTTCTTTCATTTATGCAAATACTTATTTAGGCTGCTGACATACTTAAGGATATAGAACATTTCTGAAAATTGGCAGTCTTATATACATACATATAAACAAGAGCTATAGTTATTATTATTTATTTTTATTCATTTAATTTTTTGTATTTATTATTTATTAGACAGCCCTCTTGCTTTGTTTATTCCATTGATATATATACTTCCAAATATTTCATTGTCATGGTGAAAATAGTTTGTCCAGATAACAATTATCTATAAAACAATATTAAATGCAAACTCATCGTACAGTGGGTATAAGTTTATAATGATACGATGTTAAGATAGCAAATGGAACTGAAAATTAATTGTTAATATATTGAATCTTGGATGCCGACTAACAATGTGTTTATCTATGCAAATGTAATGTAATTTCTTGCCACCATTAAGAATGGATACTTTTTAATTTTCATTTTTAAAAATTTTTTGGGGCAATGGATCTCAACATGTATTTTTTTAAATAGGTCTAAGAACACTAATAAATAGATATAAAATATTTTAAAAATAAAAACATTAAAAGAATGTTGTTTAAATTGCATATTAATAAAAATATGAATTTTTCGCTTTGTCAAAACAATTTCTTGACATATTGTGTGTCCCTTATTTACAACTTCATATAACAACTACCATATACGCATTAAACAAAAATAATAATTATGTTAAACAAAAAAAAATAAAAAAAAATATACGAATACCAATACCACATTTTGAACATTTTATAGGGTACACGTAATAGCAAATACCAATTATACTTGTTCTGTTCTAATCAATTAAAGGCCTTGTTAAGTGAGAATTATTATAATACCTTGAAAAGGCCTATTAAAAGTTTAACGAAAAAACACAAGCAACTAGGGCAAATGATTTTGCAATTGATAAATTTATTTTAACTACTATTCAGGCAGCTCAAAGTAGCCCAGTTGCAGCATTCGAGGTAGTAAATACTCCAGTTCCTTCTGGTAATCTTTATTATAATAAATATTAACGCGAAGTTCTTCACTCTGTAGAATGTCACCAGGATCCTTATTCTGACGCATACTATACGACAAAGGCAATAACAAAGTGAGCAGCATGTAATCTATTGATAAACAAACAAAATAAAGATTATAATCAAATATATTTGTTGTATAGGGGATCTTAAGACTTACCACTGAATCTCCTGTCAAACATCTGCCTGCGCAACTCTACCAAGCTGTGCTTCTCGCCTTTGTATCCAATTTTTGATAATGTCGCTAAGAAGGTATCAAAATAGTGGGAGATGAGCTCATCAGAATTATTCAGACGTTCCTCGGCAGCGAATAGCATGTATTTCGCATAAAGCAGATCGTTAACCATCGATCCAACGTAGGACATCTGGAAATCAATCAACATGCAGTCGTCGAGCTTATACATCAAATTACGCACATGAAAGTCGCCGTGGCATAGAACGTAATAGGAATTTTCTTGCCGATTCTCACGATATTCACGTATAATGTCTGCCCAGCGCTTGATTATATTTTGACGCATCGGCTCAAAGTATTTGCGATAATCCTTTAAACTCTCCACCTGACCAATCATATCTATAAAGGTGGGCAGGGCTTTGGTTACAAAATCCTGTTCGAAAAAGTTCGGCAATGTCGTTATATCATATTTAAGTCTGTCAAATATATTCGGCTGCTCCTGCAACAACTTCTGGCTGACGGCATGCCATTTCGCCAGTTTTCTCAGCGCACACCGCAGTTCATCTAAGGTAAGATTTCGGTTGCGTATCACTTCGTAGCCCTGAGGCACCAGATCCTCGAAAATCATCACCTGTCGCGGCTCCAAGCTGTGATAGACGCATCTTGTACAAAACGTTGTCTCTTCGCCCGCCTCGCGTAATATCGCCTCGAACTTGGGCAGCACTTCCGTGTACATGGCGATCTCTGTCTGGAATATAGGGGAATCGCCCAAAAACTCCTTTTTATTGCCTTCCATCTCGGGCATTGTCTTAATAATCAGCGATTTCGAAAACTTTCCCTTCTGTGTTAGATACTCAACGCTGGTCCGAAACATGACACTCGCATAATGATCACCCTTTGCACTGGCCGGGGATATCTGCACATCAGTCAATTTTAGACTGGGGTCTTTGGAGTACTGCATTAGCACCTCTTGCAAGAATTGCTTGTTCAGCCAGTCGGGTGCTTCCAACTCATCCGAGTTGTAGGCATCATTATTAGAGGACATTGTTAATAGGAAACAGAGAGCGTCTGGTCTATGGCGTAAATATAATCAAACTAAATGAGAACCTAGTGACTCCCGGTATTTATTCACGATTTTTTACTGTCGTGAGCTTTAAAAGCTCTTCACACTCAAACTCATTGAGTTAAAATAAGAATACTCATAGAAGCCAAATCTTCCGAACTACGTTCTCAAAAGATTGTTGGATTGATGGTCGAGCGATATAAACTTAAACATAAATTTTAATTTATATTGGAAAGCATATCAAACATATCCTCGACATATCCCCCAGCATATAAACATAATAAAGTTAACTTTTTATCGAATTCTGGATATCTACAAAATATCCCAAATTATTCATACGCTCCAATAGATATGCCACTTCCTCTTGGTAATCCTTATCCTTGTACATGCTCGTCCGTCGCCGAAATGGGTCAATGGCATTCTTGCGGGCAGATATTTGCATGGGCAAAAATGTCGTGAGCAGCATAAACTCTAAATAAATTATAAAAATAATATAAGGAGCAGTACTTTATTGTAATGTCTATAATAATATACTCACCATTGTGTCTCTTGTCGATCATCTGGCGCTGAAATTCTTCAAAACTAGGTGCTTTGCCTCGGTAACCAATCTTTTTTAACGTATTGGCAAATACTTCTAAATAATAATTAATAAGTTCATCGCGGCGCTTTCCGCGATCTTCAGCAGAAAACAACATGTACATCGCATAGAGAAAATCATTGACCAGCGGCCCCACGTGCGATAGCTGAAAGTCTAGCAACATGCAGCTGCTGTTCTTAAACATCAAGTTTCTGATGTGGAAGTCGCCATGGCATAGAACATAATAGGAATTTTCTTGGGGACTCTTACGGTACTCGCCTAATGTATCCGCCCATTGTTGAATTAGATTTCCACGCATAGCCTCGAAATAATGTTTGTACTTCTTTAGACCTTCTAATTCAGCCAGCATATAAATAAAGTTTGGCAAAGCATTCGTGATGAAGCTTTGATTCAGAAAATTGGGAAGTGTGGAGATATTGTATTGTAACTCTTCGAACAATTCTGGCTGTTCCTTTAGCAATTTGTGGCTAACTGCATGCCACTTGGCCAGCTTTTCCAGCGCGGATCGTAGTTCATCTAATGTGGCAGATCGGTTGCGAATCACTTGGTAGCCCTGGGCCACCAGATCCTCAAAGATCAACACCTGTCGCGGCCTCAAGCTGTGATATATACAAGGCACAAATAATTTACACTCAACCCCCGCGTCGCGCAGTATCCCCTCAAACTTGGGCAGCAGTTCTGTATACATGGCTATTTCGGTCTGGAATATGTGTGAATCATTCACCATTCTCTTCTTCTGACCGCCTTGGTCGGACATTGTCTTGACAATCAGGGACTTGGAAATGTTGCCTTTCACAGTTGAGTACTCCACGCTGGCGCGAAACATGACGCTTGCATAGTGATCCCCCTGTGCACTTGCCGGGGACAATTTGAGATCGTTTAACTTTAAATCTGGTGCATTCTCGTATTGAATCAAGACCTCGGTAAAGAATTTCGGATTAAGCCATTCCAGGGACTCCAACTCATCCGGATTGTAATTTTGATTTGTCGACATGCTCTACTTAAAATGTATTTATCGATTATATGTGCATTTACACAGGTATGCACGACAACTAACTAAAAGTTCTCCCAAAAATTGTATTTATTTAGAAAGAGAACGGCACAACAGTAAAAAGTTAGACTCGACTAGGTAAATACCCTGCAGCTTGGCCGCCGTTTGCACTCTACAAACCCATTTTGTAGAGTATGAAATTGCTTAAGAACAATAATACTTATAATTCTCTCTGCTAAACGTTTGTATGCTCACAACAGAATGTTATCAATCGAACATTACCTTAAAAGGTTGTGTTGTAGGTGAGAAGCTATTATCAACATTGAGAGAGAGAGAGAGAGAAGGGGAGAGCAAGTTGTTGATAGAACCTTTTTTATCCCCATTTGAAGAGAAGTTAAAGAAAAAAGCTTTTTTGCCGGCTTTTAGCACCATGGTGCTCCAGCTTTTGGCTCTTTGTGGATGGCTGTAGAAATCCATAGCAAATGGTAATATCGAAATAATACACAAAAGAGCTTTACTTAATATTTTATAAAAAAGCCCAAGGCATGACAAAAATGATTATTGCTACAATTAAAAAAGCTGTAGTGGAAACTATTTGGGGGCAGATAGTTTTTGTTTTATTTTTTTTTTTTTATATTTTACTTTTAATAATTTTATATATTTTAGATAATTTCGACTTCACCTCAAATTGCATGTGTACAACACGTGTAAATCTATATATATTTATATTAATACGAATATATATTAACAGAAATGTGCCATAAATTAATGATATGTAAGTTAAATGAAATAAATGATATTAGGCTATTAAAAGCAAGTACAAGATATGGTGAAAACGAATTCCAAAACGAATTACTGATCTGCATCCAGTAACCCTTGGCAATCAAATCGATGCAATAATTCCCGCAGAACCTTTTGGGCAACCGGATTTCTATAGCAGCCGTTCTTAAAGTTAATTGCTCGCTGGTCGGACTTCATTAAAGCATTGAAGTCCGCATCCTCTGTTTCCTCATTTCGCTGGATGGGAAAGATATTGAAGCTGGTGTGCATGGCTGCAGGGACGAAATAAAGAAACACAGGCTATTATAAATTCAGAAGAGGTTCACAAATGTTTTAGACTTACCATAGAAAGATTTCTTCTCAAGCTCCAGGTGAAAGTTATGCAGGCTGGGAATATGCGCTTTGTAGCGCAGTTTTCTGAGCGTGTTTGAAAAGATCTCAAAGTAGTACTGGATGAGCTGCTCGTGATGGTGCAAATGGAAATCCAATTGCAGCGAGGAATTCAAAAAGTAGAACAGATCAATCGCCGGTGAGCCCCAGGCAGCGTACTGGAAATCAATGATAATGACATCCTCCGGCTCGCCGGTGGATTCGTTATACTTGACAAGGACATTATTGGTCCACAGATCGCCGTGGGCCAGCACGTTGATGCCCGGACTGACATCGAACACTCGCTTGCCCAGCTCCATGTAGACGGGCACGAGAGCCTCCAGTTTCTCGGCGTACTGCTCGTAGCCAGGCCATTGGGCCACACGCCTGCTGGCCGCCTGAATCATGCCCAGAAAGCAGGGCGCATAGTTATCTGTGTGACGGTTGAACATGCCGCGATCGTAGGATTCCAGGGCGCCGAGCTCGCGCTCGTTCAGCACCGCAGAGGTGGCATGCATCTTGGCCAGCTTTCGGAGGACAAGGCGGGCCAGTTTCAGATCCAAGCCCACTAGACGATCGGGCATAAGGTAGCCACGCACGCTCAGATCCTCGAAGATCAGCGCAGAGCGATGGTAGTCGACAGCCATTGTGTCTGCAAAGATTTGTTCATCATCGTTAATTTCGCGCAGCAGCGCATTAAGTTTGGGCAGGATCTGTTCATAGATGGACATCTCCCGATTGAATATATCGTAGGGTTCCATGGCCTTGCGTGCGAATTCGTCGCTCTCAAACGAGGTCTTGATTATGTAGTGCCCGATCAGCGAGCTGCCATCGCTTCGGATAAACTCCGCCTTAATGCGGGTCAGAACGCCGCCATAGTTTTCGCCACGTCCCAGTGCCGGACGACCATCAAGCGCGGCGATCCTCAATTTCGGATCCCTATAGAACTTGCGCAATGCATCCTGCAGATAGCTTTCTGTTAGCCATTCCGGCGCACCCAGAAATCCCGAATTTATTTCAGGGTTAGCTGTTGGCAGCTTGGGAATGGCATCCAATGCGCTTATCAAATCCGGAACAGACATTTTTCTTCAGCTATTCCAACTGATCTATCACAATAAACTCTTCGAAGGCTGTTGCTGAAATATCAATGTTCAAATTTCTGAAGCACACGGCTTTTTATACGACACCTCGTGGCAGGTGTCGACGCCGTCTCCCTATCACAATTGTGATTTATCTCGCTTAGATAAAAAGATGCAGATTATATATATGCCTGTGCATGCATAAATACAGATTATACTTAGTCTAAATGGATTGTGGCATCGCAGCTCGTTCGGGCTGCCCCACGCGCTGTTGCTACCGCCCACTACTGATAATTGGGGGTTGTATGTTGTCATATATAGACTTTAATCACTCCAGTCTAGTCGTAAGATACTCAGGGTTGAATAAAACACAAAAATTTTAAATATTTAACGAGATTTAAGCTATACACTGAGCTTGTGATGAATGAACTTCAAATACATACAATTTTACCTGCGTGCGTATAATTTATTTAAAACTGAAAATACGGCACGTGCAAAATGAATGGGTTTTACATTGTTCACGGATTTTTACACCCTTGTAGAGGGTATTAAAATTTTATCTTGAAATGTGTAACGCATTTCCGACCCCATATAGTATACTATATATATTCCAGATCAGCATCAACAGTTGATATAGGCATGTCCGTATGTTTGCCTGTCCGTCTTACTGTTTCTATACGAACTCGTCTCTCAGTTTTAAAGCTATCGTCCTGGAACTTTTCATAGGTCCGTACATATGTAGGAACCGGCCGGATCGGACCACTATAAAGCTGTCATTAGAAGGATCGGTCCAAAAGTAGGTTCTTGTAGGGGAATCTTTTTGTTTTACAGATTTATAAGTTTTATGATCCTCAACTATGTCAGATAGCTACCATAGAAAAGATCGGTCGAAAAGTATGTTCTTATATAGCCAAATATTCTGTTTGCCAAGATACTTTAAAGCTACTTCAAAGTCAGCACATACGAGCTTCACTATTCTCACATATCCGCCAAAAGGGAAATGTCTACAAGGGCATTAAATCTTCGGCGTGCCGAAGATGTTAATACTTTCGCGTTTTTATTTAATTTGTCTTTGTTTGTCCAGTTACTAATAGCGTCTAGGCAAATAACAAACATGATAAATTAGGGGATGAGACTATATTTTACAGGTTTTTATGGTAGCATGCATACTAAGTCCTATGAATCGAGCTAAAATGTCATTACACAATTTATAGTGAATGGGCATTGACGTCTAACAACAATCAAAAGACAAAAAAACTATTATTATTTAAAGATAATTGATACATGACCGACTGATCAACGCAAAGCCAAGCCATGAGAGCTATAAATCCACGTAAAGGCGGGTTTTAGGTCATTTCCGCCCGCAAATGTGGAAAATTGATGGAATGGCGCATATAGTATACTTTTTTTTTACTTACCACGTAAACAGCTTCAAACTTATTTTTAAATATCTTATTGAAAATTCACTTAAGACGTATTTCGAACTTTTCTGAATATCCACTCCACAAAGTGAAAAGTCCGTTTCGGATCCTTGTTGTGCTATTCGTAAAAAGATATATGTAAGCGCGAAAGATGTCAGTGATAAAATAGACATTAGGTAATTTTCAGTATATATAGTAGCATTTGTAGTGTGCACTCAACTTAATTAATGATGTTCCCAGCCGTATATCATTTAAGATTGCACGCAGACTTAGATAATGTTCCGTGCGCTTATAACCAGCAATTCGTCTGGTACACGTCACACGGCACGAGCTCTGGACCTGTTGCCACACAGTTGCACTAAGCTCGGAAGCAAATACCATATATGAATCGTATATGTATATGGTAGTCAGAGCAAACATTTGCACAAATATAAAAGCATCGCGCGTAGTAAGAGTGAGAGATTGTAGAAGTGTAAAAAAATAAAAATATAAAAAAATAAAAAACTGTATGAATTTCACCTTCACCAAAGGCAGTAGCCACAGAGCCGATCCTCTCGTATATAAGTCAGTGAACCCGATAAAAGTGCACCACAATCGTCGAGATCTCAGCTAGAACAAGACATAATGGCAGCGGCACCTGAGTGGCTGACACATGATTACATTGAGCACGCGCTGAGAACTCATTACAAAGATGACAAATTACAAATTTTGCAGCTGGAATTAAATCCGGCTCTGGGACCGGGCGAGAACTATGGCGGTGTCTTGACCCGGGTCCGAGTTCGTTTCACACTTTCGCAGCAAACCCAAGAAGAGCAGCTGCAGAACCTGATCGTAAAGACCTCCATTGACGATGATGAGCTGACAAAGGAGCTAATGGCGCCCTACGACATTTACAATCGCGAAATGACCATCTATGAGGAGGTGCTACCAAAATTGAATGAGCTGCTCAAGGAAATTGATGAGTTTGAGCCCTTGTTTCCCACCGCCATCTTTGTGGACCGCGAACGCATGGCCATCATCTTTGAGGATCTGGCCGTGGACAACTACGTGATGGCCGATCGTGTTAAGCGCTTGGACAAGGATCATGCCCATTTGATACTGCGCAAACTGGCCAAGATGCACGCCACCTCTGCGGTACTGAATGAACGCAATGCCGGCAGCCTAGAGAAATACGATCGCGGCTTCTTCAATCGCTATACAGACGCCTACAGCGGCTACTTTGTGGGCGGCCTGCTGGCCGCCGCACGCTGGATGAGCCAGGAGCCCGAGTGCGCACAGTACGGGCAGAAGCTCTTTGAGCTGGCTCCACACTACATGGACATTGGTCGGGAATGTTTTGCTCCGCTGCGGGAGTCGGTGAATGTGTTGGCGCACGGAGATGTCTGGACCAACAATGTTATGGTCAAATACGATGCAGTTACCGGTCGTCCAGTCGATATTCTATTGATTGACTTTCAATATTCGTTTTGGGGCTCGCCCACAATTGATTTGCATCATTTCTTCAATACATCGCTGCGGGAGCCACTGCGACGGGAGGAACAGGGCGCTCTGTTTGAGTTCTATCATCGCATATTCAGAAATATTCTCACAAAACTCAACTACAAACAGAACCCAATTCCCAGTTTGCATCAATTTCAGTTGCAGGCCGAACAGAAGCGCTTTTTCGGTAAGTTAATTGACAGGAATAAATTATTGGAATTAACGAAAAGCTAAATGTGCTTGATTTTTTCCCTTATAGCCATGCACTCGGCAGTTGTGGTGCAGCCCGTCATGATCAGCGAGGACTCCACAGATGCCTGCTTCAATGCTCTCATGAACGATGATGAACGTGGCATGCGCTTCAAGAATCGTCTCTATAACAATCCCATAGTCCAGCAGAATCTGAAGGCCCTGATGCCGGTCTTCGATAGAAAGGGCCTGCTGGAGGTTAATCAATGCTGTTGAGTCGACAAATAAACTTAGATATTAATTCACATTTAAAAACTGATGTAAATAGAAATTCCGAATAAGCTTCTCTAAAAACTTTCAATACATACATATATCGTGACGGTGCATTCAAAACTCATCTTACCTTCTTTTATCTGCGGGTCTTCAATCGACCAAAGTGGGAATAGGAATATTAAATAGTTATTCAATAATTCGCTATACACAAAACTATTTGTTTGACTGATTAAATGGCTTCCGGAGAATGGAAAGCTAACTTTTAGGGAAATCCTCGGGCAGGTATGGAAAAATTCGAGAAAATCGGTTGTATCAATCTTTGTTCAAATTCGTTTGAGAAATGTCTCACATTTTTCTGAAAATCCATTTCTACCTGGATGAAATAGAGATTAAAGATTTGGCGGGTGCCTTTTTGGGTTCATATTAATCCTTTGCCTTATATTCCACGTCCCTACGCGTGGCAAGTTTTGTGCTTACAATTTTATATATTACTTTTTTACACAGTTGCCGCCCGTGAAAAATGTAAATCTGCCCGTACCATCTTAAACTTCACGTCTTTTTGAAAATAAGTTAAGAGTCCTTCGAATAGTAAACAAAAAGTTGGATCCACGGGTTTCGACCATGTTGATCTTGTGGTGAGAATTTTGATCCGCATTTTTCATCCGGAAGCGATGGATTTCTTGAAAAACGTATCAAATACATTTTCACAAAAATGTTTGAAAATGATTTTTAAGCTGTTCCGATACTAAAACAATCGCGAATTTTCCGCCAAATTTCCCATCTATCTGAAAATAAGTTAGAAGTCCTTCGAATAAGGAATTAAAAAGTTGGATTCGCCCACGTTCGTCTTGTAGTGAGAATCTTGATCAATTTTTATCCGAAAGCGGTGGATTTCGTGAAAAACGTATCAAATGCCTTTTCCGATACCAAATAATCGCAAAAGTTCGCCCAAATTTCCACAGCTGCGGTTGGAATTTCCAAAATCGCTGAAACACGTATTCCGAAAGGGTTTATGTAGTGCTTAAAAAATAAGGTTAATTCCAATGACACGAGACTTTAAACTTCGCTCTTGTAACCTTTCACCCGCATTTATCAGTCAAGTGGACCGGATTTTGTGCTAAATGCCTCCCATAATAATTGCCAAATAAATGTCAAACCCGCATTTTGGTGTAAGAACACATAAGTCAGTACACATGAGTACTGTGCGTTGATCACCAATCAGTCAGTCAGTCAGGACATAGAGTTTTATATATAGTATAGAGATAATAAAAATTTGTTAAAGGGGATCCAACATGCACTGTACTCGACGAGATAATTTTGCTCAGAGTGCAAAGCTTTGGCAAATAATGCGAGAGCTTGTTTGAAATCCATTATAAAACCCAGACATTAAAATACTTTCAAATATTATGTACACTGTTTCTGACGGCAGGTCCGCCAGCCTAATAAAGACACGGCGATGACGGGCTAAAATGGCGAGCGCAGCCATATACGGGAATAGAGTCGTTAAATCAATCTGGAAGATATACATAGTCGTAGACATAGTCCAACTGTTTTCTTATCGTCAACTCGAGCGCCGTATAAAAGTAGATCAGCTCTGCGAAGACAGCTCAGAAGTGTTTGCTAGCTGTGGATGCGATCCAACAATCATGCCAGAGCAAACAATTCAAGAGTTCCTTGCGGCGCCCGCTTGGCTCACCCGGGATTACGTCCAGCGGAAGCTGCGCGATTATCTGAAAGATGGAAAACTGCAGCTGCAACAACTTCACATAAAGCCCGCCACGGCGAATGGGGAGAACTATGCCAGCGTGATGACGCGCATCATTGTGGAGTATAAGGACAAGAATCTACTACAGCACACGGATACCTTTTTAATAAAGACCACGTTCGCCGACAAGGATCCGGCAGCTCATTTGCTGGAGCAATACGGCATCTATGTCCGCGAAATGGATATGTATGAGCAGGTGCTGCCCAAGCTGGCAAAGATCATCCAACAAGAGCTGGGCGACCAGAGAAAAATATTTGCCGGCACCGTGAACGTGGATCGGGAACGCGACTCTATTATGTTTGAGGACATGTCCTTGGATAAATACACCGTTGCGGATCGCATAAAGCAGTTGGATCTGGACCATACAAGACTGGTGCTGGAAAAGCTGGCCGAATTCCATGCCGCTGGGGTCGTGCTCAACGAGAAACAGCCTGGAATTTATGCCAAGAAATACGATCGTTGCTTCTTCAATAGGCACACCAGAGCCTACAAGCCGATCATGCAGAATATGCTGAGAGCCCTGATAATATCCATTGAGGACGACAAACTGCTGCATCAACGATACGCGGCTAAGCTAAATGGAGTGATCGATCACATCATGGAATATAGTGAGCGAACGATGGAGCTGAACGAAGGCGATTTCGCAGCTCTGTGCCACGGAGATCTGTGGACTACGAATATTATGTTCAATTATCTGGCAAGCGGCAGACCCAACAATATGATTTTTATAGACTTTCAATTTAGCGTGTGGAGCTCACCGGCTATCGATCTGCACTACTTCTTCAGCACCTCGCTGCAAGACGAACTCCACAAGCATAAACAAACTGAGCTGGTCCAATTCTATTACCAGAAGCTCGTCGAGGCCCTGACCAAACTCAAGTTTCGTGGCCATGTGCCCAGCCTATTCGAGTTCCAGCTCCAGTTTCAAGCGCGTGCTTTCTATGGTGCGTAACTGATCTTTGGTGTTGTAGTTCGATTTATGCTAAGTAAATTATTATTATTATTTAAATTATTTATTTGATAGCTATTTTTTGCTCCTTGGTTTTCCTGCCCGCCATGCTGCACAGTGGCCCCGAAGAATTCTCCATCGAGAAAGCTCTGTCTAACTCTGAAAGCGATATTGCTTTGAGAGTATCCCTCTATAGGAACGCGATCTTCCAGAAGAAACTGAGAACCATTTTGCCATTTTTCGATCACAAAGGATTGCTGGATGAGATGTAAATGGAATTTATGTTTTTAGTTGCATAATATTTATAATTTAAGAATTATTGAAAAATAAAATTAGCCTCAAGCTGATCGGTAATATTTGAATAAATGGGGATACGCTGACATCTGACTTGAATTTTTAACCATTTTTTGTGTACAGCTACAATATGGAAATGGGTTAGATTATTTATTTTGATGTCATATTGAATAACTAAGATTAGGGCAGTATTGTATTTTAACAAAATTCAACTTGACCCTGGTCATTAGTCTAGATCAAATAATTGCTCTTTGTCGTGGTTAAATTCAAAATCTTATCGGTAATTGTATCTGAAGATCTATAACCATAGGTAAGAAAAAATTTAATATTTTATTTATATTATTCATAACAATCGGAAAAGTAGAGATGACAAAGAACTTGTCAGTTACCACAATAATGTATTCTTATACCCTGTACCCATTAAAAATTGTTAAAATGGGTATTTTCGGCCAATGTATGTAACAGGCAGAAGTATCTCCGACCCCTTAAGCATCAATAGCCAAGTCCATCTAGCCATGTACGTCTGTCTGTCCGTATGTATGAAGGATCTCAGAACATGTAAGAGCTAGAGACTTGAGATTTGAACGTAGGTCCTCCTAGTGCCCGCGCAGTATGAGTTTATTTCCGATAATCGATAACTTGCCCGTTTTCAAACAATCAATAAAAACCGATATTGAAAAAATTGTCGGTATGGCTGTTGAGTTGCGGTGGTGGCAAGTAGTTCGATTAGTTATGGGTTCGAGTCCTAAAGCAAACTGCATTTGCTGTTGGTAGAAGAGGGTTTAGGGTATCTGCTAGTCGGCAACTCCCGATTAGAGCCTTTAACTTTTTAAATAGTACGTTTTAGTCAACCCATTTTTACCAAACTTAACTATATATTCAGATTATCTGTTTTTCCTGAGATATCTGTTAATTGCAAGGATTAACTACGTCAAAAATACGTTTTAAGATTGTAAAAAGAACTAAGTCAATGCAATAAACAATACGTAACACAACTAACTGCGTGTCTCTATTTATTTTGCTCAAAAATTAATAACGACGTCATGAAATATACAAAATGGATAACGTGCCAGATAAAATGAAGAGCGTGCAAAGATCTGAGTAGACTAACCCATTGATAAGGTGGGAACTACGCTAAGCTAACAAGTGGGACTAACTTAACTAACTATATGTATTTTAGTTTTGTTAGGTAAGTAGACTGCGCGGTTTATGGATTGTCAAGCAGATGAAATAGTCGCACATGTAAGAGATTTATAGGGGGCACACTTACTGTATACTATATACTGATATACAGTTATAATTCAATGTCAGACGTGTGTACTATCTAATGCGCTTCGTATAGTAGTCCCATTTGTGCTGAGATGACATTGCAGAAACTGCAGATTGTAGCTAATAGATATTAGTCTACATATGTATATATGCTTATGTAAGTATATAGACAAGTCTCTAGATCCGCGTTATATCAGCGACACATAAGTAATACAACTGTCTGACGCTAAATGGACAGATTAGATAACGCCAGATTATGTATACATTTAAGCTTTCGGGATCGTTGGGCCTGCCGGACTATAAATTGCGAATGCTGCCGAGTCGATGCGAGAGTATCAACTAATCATGGTCGAAATACGGAACGGCAACAGCAACGGCAGCCAAGATGAGGATGACTTTCATCCTGCACCGCAGTGGCTGACGGTGTCCTATGTAGAGTCCATTTTGCGTCGCCATAAGCAGGATTCGGAGCTCAGTATTAGGGATTTAAATATCAAGGCCGCAACGGCCAAGGGCGACAATTATGCCAGCATCATGACCAGAATCAAGGTGGAATATCTACGCGGCGGCGCCAATCAGCCAGAAACGGAATTCTTTATTGTGAAGACCACATACGAAAATGATCCATTCATATCCAACATCTTTGCCGGCTACAATGCCAGTATCACGGAAATGGTTATGTACGACAAGATCCTGCCACAACTGAGTGACCTGTTGGAGGGCACAAAACAATCGGAGAAACTATTTGCCAAGACGCTGCATGTGGACTACGAGCACTCGGCCATCATCTTTGAAGATCTCGCTGTGTCCAACTACGTGCTGGGCGATCGTTTGACTGGCTTTGACTTGGAGCACGCCAAGCTGGCGTTGCGAAAGCTGGCCAAGATGCATGCCGCAGCCGCCGTCTTCAATGAGCGCCAGCCCGGGCTGCTCACCAAACTGGATCATGGCATTTTCAATCGTCATACGCGGGCCTTTTCGCCAATGTTCGAGAGTCTGTTCGGCGTGGCCGCACAGTTTGCCGGCCAGTGTCCGGAGCTGGGCAGCGTCTATGAGGAGAAGTTGAAGCGCCTGCAGAAGCGTGTGATGGAGTACACCGAAAGAGTTTATGATCCACAACCGGATCAATTCAATACCTTAACTCACGGCGATTTGTGGATAAATAACATAATGCTGAGGAATAAAACCGATCAGAATGAGCTGGATATGCTGCTGATTGACTTTCAGTTCTCCGCCTGGGCCTCGCCAGCCGTGGATCTCTTTTACTTCAGCAACACCTCACTCCAACCCGAAGTGCGCAACAAGCACCTGGACGCCTTGATCCAATACTATCATAAGGTACTGGCGGATACCCTGCGTGAATTGAACTTTGGCGGCCATATACCCACGCTTCGGCAGTTGGTACTGCAGCTGGAAGAGGGTAAATTTATGGGTGAGTAAACGGATCGAACGTCTTTAAAGAGCTGACATTAAATGGAAATTTATATTATTCTACAGCTGTGACCGCCACTCTGACCTGCCAGGCTATCATGCTCAACGAGGAAACAAAGGATGCGGACTTCAATGGTCTACTGCTGGACGATGAACGGGGTCGCAACTTTCGCAAGGGCATGTACAATAATAAGAGGCTTCAGGAAAATGTCAAGAAATGGCTACCCGAATTTGAGCGCCGCGGCCTACTTGATGTGTTGGATTAAGATTAATATATACTTAAATTGAAGTATATGTTATTAATGCTTACTGTATGCTTTATAACCTGGACTTTTCGTTTTTTATAATATTATAGCCTAGATATTAGAATGTCGCTCCTATGTTTTAGGAACAAATTAAAGAGTTTATATATTAAAAATGGTTTGGTTTTCTCTTACTTGTTGCATAAGATCCTTTAAAGTCTTACACCAGCTATAAAATTATGGCTACGTATTTGATCCGTAGCAATTTGGCCACCAGAAAAATCAACACTAATTTGTCTTAAATAATTCGTTGATCTTATTGAAGCTGTCAACCAAATGCATTCCAACGTAAAAGATAATTCATAGTCTCACCAATTACATATGTTTTATGCTTTTTTGCTACTTTTTATAATTATTTCAAGGTAAAGGCAATGATTCTTGCTTTACATGGTGTAGCCACTCAAAGATTAAATAATATATTTTCAGACAATAAGCCAAATCAGATACGAAAAAGGTTTTGTATGTACATTCAATTAGAAAGTTGAAATCTTGCAATTTGGTATCCTTTTTGTGATATGGGAATTCATATCTGAAAGCCGTTGTGCTTTAAAATACTAGAATCCTTTAAAAATGTTACGCATACCTATTAAAATGGAGCTAGTCTATCCACTCCTTTTAGTTTAAACACTGGACACCACTAATGAAAGCCAAATATTTTTATTTATTTAATAATTATTCTTTTAGCGTTCTAAGATCATATATCTTATCTAATCCGCACAGTAAAATAATTTCATCACAATATGAGAGAGAATTTATATACACTCATGTATGCACATTCAGGAAGCGTCTATCTCAGTTAATCAGCGTTTTTACTTACACTAAGCCTCGGTAGTCCCAAATTGCAAAATCATGCCGGATTTTAATAAAAGGCCGTTGTGCAAATTAAATAAAAAGTGAATGATAATTATTATTTGAATAAGCAGCTAATGCTGCGTCATTTAGTGTCAGAAAAAGTAGTCCAATTCCTAAACAAGTTTAATAAGGAGAGGGTATCAAAGAAAAGTCCAGATGTAAAGAATGGAAATCAAGGACTTCAAATTTTACATTCTTGTCACACTCTTAAAAACCCAATATTCCTTGCTTACTGTTGTTATCAATATTTTCCATGAATTTTTATTCATAAATTTTAATATTATTATAATTTTTTTTTTTAATCGGTAAATGTGCAGTATGTATATAAATACTATATTGAGCAAAGTGAAATCAAGCTTTTTTATCTTTTCATGGATTTAACTTATTGGCAATGCGATTTGAAAAGGCGTTACAGCGATATCAGTACAGCGCAAGTATCGATAAATATACATTTAAAAGAAATATCGTGTTGTTGTGTATTATTTTTTCTGGAAGAATGCTCGGTCACACTTAAAATTGACGTCATGTACAATACAATTATTGATGATGCTGAAAGTCCCAAAGTTGCTGAATCAAAATACTTGCTATAGTATAGTTAAAACCATAGATTATTGTGCATTTTTATTATTTATATATAGTGTTGTTAGCTAGAACAGAGTTTATCCTTAAAAATCCCACCCCGCGTACTCTTTCACAACATCTTTGTTTTCCTTACGATGGCGATGCACGGCACTCGCTTCGCCCTTGGCCACACAACGTTTGCGTTGCTCTCGCTTCTCCTTAATATCCAAGTTGCGACGTATGCGATCTGTGATCACAGAGGGAGCTATCGTACTGGCTGTGGTGGAGAAGGATCGCTGACTGCGTGCATCGTTTAACATCTGTTCGACCATCTTTAGACGGTACATACGCGAATTGGGATCCAGGCCAGCTAGCTCTGGCATTTCATCCGTTTCCAAGTCGTTGGAGCTGATGGAGTGCGCATCTTCAGCTGCGGGAGTGGCTTCTATTGTATTGGAATCAGCTTCAGTAGCGTTTGCCACAGCTTGGCTAGATTCCTGGGTTGGAATAGACGTCATCCGTTCGGAATCTAGGATTTTTGGTGTTGCCACTATAGTCTGATCGGATATCTCGGGACCAACGCTTAGATTGCCCAAGTATTGCGTGCACGATTCAATGTAACGCCTAATGGCATCGTCGGACTTTAGTGCAGGCTTTGTCTCGCTATAGGACACCTCATTTTCTAACTGCCTGCGACACTCGTCAATCTCGGCGGCTGCAGCTGGCACCAAGGTTGGTGGCTCATCATCAGCCAGCTGTTCTTCCTCCTCTTCCCCCTCCTCCACTTCCTTAATCATGCCATACTCCTGCAGCAAATCCTGCTCCATTTCCTTTGTGAATCCATAGCCAGTGCAGTGCACCTCAGCGTCTAAATCATCTTCGCGCACCAAGTCACTGAATTTGGGATAATCCTCGCTTTCGTACGCAAACTTGCGACGGAACATCTCACGCACGCACGTGACGTCGCGCTCAAAAAAGCTGTCAAAGATTGGGAATTTGTTAATAGACAATAGAAAAGTTTGCTAACCGCTTACAATTGGGCGTTCTCATGGGAAGTGGACATCATTTGAGGAAAGTCAATCAGTATGGGCTTGCCGGCATCAGTGAGCATCAAATTAAACTCATTGAAATCTCCATGAATGACACCCGAGTTACCAAGGCGCACGATGAGATTCATTAGATCATCGTAGACCTGTGGTATATCCAGTAGCTCATGCACTTGTGTCCTGTAGTTAGGAAATAAAGACATTCATTGGATGCAAATTTAACTACATGGATGTCCACTTACATGGGCCAACCGTTAACAAGCTCCATGAGCACACAGTGGCGATTGAAATCGATGGGCCTGGGCACGGGAAAGCCACGATCATATAAGGCAGACATATAGGCAAACTCCCGCGTTGCCGAAATGCGCGAAAGATACAACCACGAGGCCTTGTGCCGGCGACCATGGTAATCGCGCTTTGATTTAACGTTGCGGAAACAGGTGCGACCCAGGCGATGCAGCTTAAGGCAAATGGGCGTGCCATCTTCATCAGCAACTACATAAATGTTGGACTCCTTGCCAATGCCAATCTGGTTGCCAAATGAGCTAACAGAACCACGCAGCGTGAGGGACTTCAGTGCGAGATAGTCGTAGCCCGTGTTAGTTAAACGATAGCCATCATCTGCAAGCGAGAGATAGCTATTAAAAATGGAAATCAAGGATTTTAAATCTTACTTACACTTCTTGCCACGCTCATAGGCTAGCAATTTGTGCTTGCAGAGCTCTTTAAGCAGTTTGTGCACCCCACCCGTTTTGAGATTGGCAATCGCAGCGGCCAGGGGACCTGGTACCAGTTCGTGATTCTTCATGCCCATCTCGATGGCTGTCAACACGCGAAAGTCCTCCTTGGTGAGGTAGCGCAGCACCGTAACATTTAATTTACCCATTTTACTATTGTTTTCGACAATTTGCGTGCATTTATTTTGTTTTGCGTTTTACACGTGCAGGTAATTCGATTACAAAGGGCGATGCACCGATATTAGTATAGCCAAAGCATCGATAACTACTCACTCATCGAAAGCATCGTAGTGTTGTGCATTATTTATTCTTTATCAATATTCGGTCACACCTCGTCTGGTCGTCGTGTACAAAAATCAATTACTATTACTGCTGAAACTGAATACGTTAAGCGTTTCCGCGAGTAAACAAAACGCCAGTCAACCACAATTAGCAATAGAAGTTGTACGTGTTTGTTACAAAATTTGGCGCAAGCAGCCGTCGCTAGTGTGTGTGCGAGTGTGTATGTGAGAGCGGCCATGTGAATGTGTGTGAGTGCGTATGACTCGTGCTTTTCGCCGACATGCAACAAAAAAAAAATACTTAATAAGTGGACGCTCAAAGGCCGCCTTTACCATTGCACGCACAATCATAAATTATGAGAAAAGTGCAAAAACTAATGAAAATATATTTTTTCTATTGTCATTGAATATAGTCGCAAAAATTGTATCCTCGCCGTGATCAAGTGTGTGTCTCTGTGTGTGTGAAGGTTGCATTCAAGTGCAACACATTCAATATCAAAGAAATCTAAATCCAAGTTTCCCCTCTCTCTCTCTGCTTCTCTGTTTTTCGACCGTTCCCCATCCGTTACGCCCGTGCGTGCCACCTGACAAGCAGTAAATCAACGGAGCAATACAATTGGGAAAAAATGCAGATCAAAGAATTGTAAGTAAACTATTGTTAAAGAATTATTTTTTTATTTGTTGCTCCGACTGAAGTGCAAAACGTGTGCAAGCCGCTGATTGTGATAAATCGATTTTACGCTCATATGTTCTCAGCTGCGACGCACTCGCTCTCTCGCTCTCCCTCGCTCTCTTCTTCGTTATTGAAGTCGCGTTGCCAACCGCTGAACAATTGCTTTAATTTATTAACTTTCTACTTTAACTTTGTTTTTGTACACTTGTGTTTTGCTTCTGCTTGCGCTACAAATATTGCCTCATCCACAGGAACAGCGCGCATTTTGTTTTTTATACTCATTTGGACGTTGTTTGTGTTGTTGTTTACATGACTTCGCCGATGACGTAATGAGAGGCAACGCCAACTTCGGCTGTCTGATTTTCGACTGAGATATGCAAACCTATTTACGGTTTACTCATTTTTTTCGCTTGTGGCGCTAAAATATTAAAATATATGAAAAGCGATTTTGCCACGTTCACAATTGTTATTGTTGTTGGTTAGTGCTGTAAAGTTTTCAATGGCTTTTGTGTGACTCATTTGGCAACTCTTCCTCTCTTTAGCGCTGCCACGCGCTCTCTTTCTCCCTCTCACTCTCTCTTGTCTTTTTCGGCTTCACTTTTTGTGCAACTTTTCGCGCCGGTTTTCCAGCTGCTTTATCAGCGGCGGTCCCAGCAACGACAGCGTTTTAATCAAACAAGTTGGCAATATTGATAACGCTGTTCGCTTGCTCCTATAAAATAGATGCATGTGTGTGTGCGCGCGTGTGTGTACTATTTAATTTACTGTCTTTCTCGCACTAACGCTCGTGCGAATTACCTGATATATGCGCTATTTAATTGCACGAAGGGCTATTTGAGGCGTTATTTATACGATTTAAATGCTCAATTACTTTGTTGATGTGTTCGATTATCAAATAAAAAGTGTTCCTATATATGTATGTACTATATGTACATATATGTACCTATGTAAATATATAGATTGGACTCATACAGTCAGCTAATCAAACAACCGGATATACATATCTAGCCAAATGCTGATTAGGAATACGCACACATACTTAAAACTATAATTATAGATTATTATAGACGCAGACTTTTGAAGGCATACATAATTATATAAGGTTATTGCTTCATACATTTTTGCATAAACCTGAACACACGCATCTAATCACAATTCTTCGACATACAACTAAATGTGATCACACGATAATTGGAACTTATCCGTTGTAACTTATTGAAAATTAAAAATTTTGTTATTGTTGAACGTGCTATTTTTTCTATTTTTAACTATTATATATTTATTTACCAAGGAGATGCAGTGACAGTTCTATTTCCAGTGCCTCAAATACCATCAAAATAATTTCGTTCAATTTGCCTTATGCTAAAAATTCTATTTTCTCATAGCTCAATGCTTCAAAAGTTATTTGAAAAAAGGATACAATATTTAGAAATAATTTCTTAAAAATATTAGAACTATAATTCTAAGCATTCGATTTTCTAATTAAGTATTAGTTACTAAACGGTTCTTATAGCGCGCGTCCACTGTAGATCCGTTCTGTTGACTCATCAACCAGACCGAGTGCATTTTCTCATTTGCAGGCTGCTCACGTTAGCCAAATCTCCGGCCAGCTAGCCATCTTTTTGCGCCCCAGCTCCCTGACGTGTTTCATTTATGAGCGGAAATTGCCAAAAATACAACTAAAATTTTTAATTGATTTGACTTTGAGCGACAATTGTCAAATGAACAAAATTCACAGTATGCTCAGTGAAGCATTAACTGGATATAAGTATATAGTTAAAGTACATTTATCTGTGATGATCAGGTATCACAAACCATCTAGACTTTAGAAATTTTTTTACAAAAATGGTAAACTGTGAAAGTTCTCTTAAGCGGACCGTTTTGTTGTCTAGTTTTTGGTCCCAGTTGTGCTTTAACGAGTTGTTGCAGAAACAAATATTAAAAAAAAAAATCATTCGTTCATTTATTTAAAATAATACGTATATTCATTTCCGAGTAATGTTGTCCGTCTTTCACTGTAATTGCAAGGGTGATATGAATAAAATATATATTCATTAATTCGAATCGGCATAATACTCTATAAAATTGTATACTGAACAGCAGCAAAATAATCAACCTGCACGAAAATAGATTTTTCCCGGCTTATACACAATCAGAAGGTCAGATGTCAGACGCAATATTTTTTTAAACTGTTACACAACACTGTAGCATTTAGTAAATAATTTGTTGAAAGTTTTTATTCAACTTTCTGTATTAAAATTGCACGTTTTTTACTGCTTTTTATTCATATTGAATTTAACTTAAAGGCATTTTTAATTTGAATGCATTTTACGGGGCTATGAACCTTTTTGCTAAATAAACATTTACGAAAAAGGTGCGAAAAGCTAAGAATAGTAAAACCTAAACAAATTTTCTATGAACATAAAGCCGCCGCCGACAAAAAAATAGCTATCGTTAATGAAATTAAATTCTATGGCAACCGGTCGACCAACAGCGGGGGAGGGGGGATGTGGCTATTTGTAGAGTAAGCGATAGATTGTTTGGGATTCTTTTTTAATTTATTTATTATCACGTTGTGAATGGAAACAATGTCAACAGCAATGAATGCGACAAAGCTGAAGTAAGCTCGTAAACAATATTTAACCGCACTTCAGTAATTAATTACGGCCGCCGGGCAGTTGATAGAATGAAGAGCTACCGCTAAAATACAACAATAATATTTCATTTAACATTTTAAAAATATGTAGAGGAAAAAAGGCAGAATAAAGTTGTGCAGCGGGCAACATTTTAAATCCCATCAAGTTCAGGGTGCATAACCCCCAGTTCGCGGACTCAGTTCAGGCTGAGTCTCAGTGCTTAAAGGAACTATTCTTGATACTGTTTTAACAAAATTAATAAACGTATTCAATATATTCAGATGGACACCAAATTTGGTAGGTCAGCAGTCGCATATCGTATCGTATTATAGGCACACGATTGCCATATTAATTTTGTATGAATATATAACACATCAACTGGCAGCTGAACACTGGGTATGCCCTAGTCGAGCACTCTCGACAGGAGTAATTTTTGGTTTTACTGATGCCATTGCCAAGGGGCATTGAAATGTTTATGTGCTTTCCGACAGTGGGCGCACTTTTTCCATTATTTAACAATTGCGTTGATATTTTTATTTTTCAAACCAATGAAGCATAAACAACAGTTGCACAGTAGGTGAAAGAAAAACAGGATTCATTTCAATCTGTACGCACAGCATACACATATACAAATGTATAAATGCATTTTCAATGCTATCTATTCATTAATTTTTATTGCAAAGTCTGTGTCCATTTGGCGTTGCTTTTATTTGTTTGGAATACGTTTAATGTGATTTACTTGAAATCGCAATAATATCGAAGGCAAACTGACGATTTTCATTACCAAACTAATTCATTTTGTATAAAGCGCCTATAACAAATTTAATTTCATACGAACATTTAAGATAAACACTCAGTGGCTTTTATATAAAGGAAAAAGAAATAGGAAAAACACGTTTTCAAACATGCGAGAATTTTAGATTCAAGTTTCTGGTGCATTGAAAATCACGATTGAACATCTGGAAAACTCTGATTTCGCAATGGCCGCTCTGTAAATATCTATAATCAATTTAAGTTCCCAAATAACAGCAGAATATAGTTTTATGGAAAACCATTTATTATACCCTGAACCCATTGGAAATGGGTAAAAAGGGTATTATGTATTTGTGCAAATGTATATAACAGGCAGAAGGAAGCATCACCGACCCCATAAAGTATATATACTCTACAACAGCATCAATAGCCGAGTCGATCTAGCCATGTTCGTCTGTCTGCCTGTCCGTCTGTCCGTATGTATTAACGCAAGGATCTCAGAGCCTATAAGAGCTAGAGACTTGAAATTTTTAGATGTAGGTCCTCCTAGTGCCGGCGCAGATCGAGTTTGTTTCCGATATTCGATAACTTGCCCCCTTTCCGAGTAATCGATATCGAAATCCTGTTTTTTGAACAATTTCGGCAAATAATATCACCAAAATTGACATGTAGCTTCTAGAATGGTATTGTTCTGGGTATCCCCAAGTCGGGAGCTCCCGACTAGAACCTCTTACTTGTATTTAGTTTCAAAACATGCACATAACCCGTATGTCTTCTTTTATACATGATTCATTAATCTAATAGCTGGAATTTCTAGATCCACACTTAAAGAGGCATTTAAACCTTTTCAAACCAAAGTAAAACAACTCTTTAAAGGAGCACTTTTTATCATTTTTTATAAGCATTTTAAGCATACGATACCCCAATTCGCTATCTTTTATTTGTACTCGTTTTAGCTTTTTTAATATTATATTGTATTTATAATTCGCGTGACTTTACGACTTTAATAAGTGCCCCGTTTTGTAGCAGTTCGCGTATCACATCTATTCCCCCTCCTCTTCCTCCGCCCCAACCCTCGTTAACAAGTTGAGGTCAATTTGCAAATGGTACAAATGGTACACGCGCTCATTTGGCCACAATTCGCAATGTGGTATTTTAGTTTGGTTTCCGTTGGTGTGTTTGTATATATTTTAGTTGTACCACAGATAAGATAACACGCCAGACAGTTTACGGTTCCCTCACAAATGGAACTCTCCAGTTTAATAGTCAGCTATTTTGTTTGTGATGCGCAATGGAGTGTGAACCCAGAGCAGCGACCAAATGTGAACTAAAACCCATTATTTTAATGCTAATGGAAGCATTTAAGCTGGTCAATTAGTTTTAGCTGAAGAGTTCTAACCTGAGCCCCAAACCTAGCTTTAATTATTCGAGCTCTAATGCATAAATATAATTTTTTGTAAATTTATTTGTGGCTGACGTGATGCCATGTAGTTACATTTCCTATAAAATGCTTATAAAAAGCCACAATTATTGAAAAAAAAAAGTCATTAGCGTTATGATAATTGAGTCCTTGACGCTTTAATCAAAATGAAGATTTATAGCGTAAATTACAGGCTCTCAAGGATATGTATCTGCAGAGTACAGAGTGGAACCACAGCGATCTAATTTCCCAGGTTAAAGTCCATCAAAACAATTTGTTTGTATTTTTCTCTTTTGACTTAATTGATTACAAAAGCTTTGAATTAGTCGTTCGAAGAAATTGTTGATTATTAAAACTAACTTTGTATGATTTAGATTTTATCCACTTATATTATTTCCAGCACTTTTGTACTTTAATTTCATAACTAGATATCCTACAAGTGGAATGCAGGGCCACAAACAGCAAAGGCTTTGCAATAAGCACAGCCCCTCTCTCTCTCTCTCTCTCTCTCTCTCTCTCTCTCTCACACAAAGGCAGCCGTGCATTCACTTTCCATTTTCAATTATGCCCACAAAGGGAAAACAATGCCTCTGTGTTTCGGATTCAATGGGTCGCCCTTGCCTCAACCTCCGCTCGCACACCCACCATTCCATCGTGCGCAAGAATGTGAATGTGTGCGTGTGTGTGTGTGTGTGTCAGGTCTCATTAAGAGTTCTTCAATATATTTTTGATGTTATATTTCGTGACTCTCTTGACTTTGTCCCCCTTTAACCGTCCACACACTTATGTCAGCTCAAGCACAACGCGGCAATTTCTAAAGTGCCTCCTACTTTTTTTTTGTGTCTCTTTCATTTAAACAGCTTTCTGTCTCTTTCATTTGTTAAATTCATGCGTGTCATATAAAATACTAAAGTACCGCAATACCCCAGCCTCCAGCCTCTTGGCTACACCAATTTTTGCATAATCTTTTTTATAGCTTTCTATACTATTATTGCCTTTTCTCTTGAATTTTCTTTCTGTTTGTTGTCGTTTCGCTTAGCTTCACAATTTTCATACACAATTCATTTGATCTCTCACCATTTGATTATTGACCCAGTTATTTCAGCCCCAACCCCCCCCCCCCCTCTCCTCCTCCTCCTTCTCCAAAAACTTATTTACTTATCTTATTGGCACCGAATTTGCCGCAGCCATTTCTCTGCTGAGGCTTTGTTGTTGTTTCTATTGAAATTGTTCGTTACTTTGAGGGAGGTTCTGATTGTGGAGATTGGGAGAAACTTTGAGTAAAGGGACAGACGACGACTCTTTATGAGCAACATTACTTTATCTGAAACTTTTCCAATTTGAATTGATTTAACGGCAACTTATTAAACTGACAAGCGAAACGGAAAATTCAAGATTTTGTTTAAATAGGCAAAAAGTTTTCAACTAATCACTGGGATGGGGTTAACTGCAATAGAATGGAGCTTCCGTTATTTATAACCTTTTTTGGGGAGGTGTGTTTATTTTCCTTCTTTTGTGCTATTGTCACGGCAAAGTTAAGATTATTGACAGTGGAAGCGTATTTAAATCAATTCTGATAAATTATTTATGATAATTGCAAATTTTGTAAAAGAAAAATGGAATAGATATGATTTTTATTGCTTACACTAAGCATGAACTCTTACATATTTATTATTTTTTCCTTATAGCGCATCGATATTTGTCGATATAGAAAAAACATCGGGATTGATATAAATATACTATAGTATACAAATCTAGTATACAAATATTCTATTATCAGTCTCATTTAATAGAAATATTGTCGAAAGTTGAACAAATAGTTCGTTTTCCTCTGTTGTTTTTATAGCCACTTAAATGTGAGCAGCATTAAAAAGTTTAAACAGCTGTTTGTAAAAAAACAAAAAAATTAATTAAGTAAATAATTCCTTTAACAAGCTCGCTCAGCTGCAACCTTTGATCTCCGTGTCCACAAAGCAACTAACCCACAGCTTAAGGACTATGTGTTTGACACACCAAATTAGGTGTAAATAAGTCAATTTGCATGGAGCACAGTTTTGTGAATAAATTGACCAGGCACGCCCAATCAAGCATCGGGGCGAACTGCCTGCGAGCGCTTCTCGCTGTCAAGTTGTGTTGAACTTTAACCTTTATTAAGTTGCAGCCGAGTCAACTTATTGGGCCGCACTGTCAGCAGTCGGCAAAGGTTAAGTGGCTCGGCTCGCTAGGGTCCAATAAGACAGGGCCACGCCTGCACAAGCCGATGTGGCCCGATTAGGCAGGCAATTAGCAACACATCATTACACGTGTCAACACTGGCAAAAGGTTAATTGCTACTGGAAGTCGCATGACATGACGGCGGCAGATACTGCCACAGTCACAGCCCCTGACAACAGATTGCAAATTCTCATTGTTCCCTATAGTTAATTCTCATAGTGTTGCCAACTGCAGGCTTGCCAACTTGATTGGAACCACAAAAGCACGCCGAAACTTAAATACTCTTGCATATATATGAAGGATAATGAAGCTCAAAATTGCTGAGTGCGGTTAAGATATATTTAAAAACAAAAAAGAAATTGTTTGTATACTACTCGTTTTTAGACAGATTCTTCTTTCTTTTTCATATATTGAAAAACAAATATATTTGTATTTTAAAACTGACTAGAGTCGACTATTGATACTGATCAAGAATATATATGTTATATACTTTATGGAATCGGTGACACATGTATGTCATGACTTAATTACAATGCCTTATACAAAGGGTATACAACGGTGACGATGTGAAGGCAGCTGCTCATAAAACGTGGCTAAATGCGAAACTTGACTGCGTCAATTTTATAGGCCAAGTTGTGAACCTTGGCCAGTGCGTCAAAAGCTTAAGTCACAGCTGAGAAGAAGCAAAACTCGCGGTTTCACTTTTAATTTCCTACCCAAAAAACTTGGCCCCAAGGCAGGTCCAACGGCTATTTAAACAAGTTTGTAACGCGATTTAAATATTCATACCTCAATATTTTTAACAGCAAATCGAATATCAATAATCTGCTGATAATATGTCTGTTCATATAAATGTATATATGTTAATATTAAATTGTTTAACTTGTCCAAATATATTTCACTCTCCTAGAAAATATCACTGACTCTGGAATAAGAATAGGTTTTACACGTTAACTTTTTTTTATAAGTTTCTGCCATATAAATATTTTCTTAAGCAACGTGCGTCTTGAAGGGCATATAAACGTCGACTTGGCCATAAAAATTTCTTCGTAATTGTGCCAGTAAAATTTTTCAATTTAGGTTATCCCACAAAAACCGCCACAAACTGAAGCCATTGCGAATAAGTTTCAAGGCCGTCGCAATTATGTTTTTTGAATAAACTCGCGGAAAGACCCCCTCACCCCCACCCCCTTCCTCTCACACACTCTTGTGTTGCATGTGTATGCGTGTGAGGCACGGCTTGTTTAAAGTTAAAGTGTGGCATACTTTTCGGCTGTGTAATTTCATTTTCCAGCCCAACGAAATTTAACAGTCATGCGTGCGTTTGGGCTAAATTTAATTAAAAAATAAAATACATATTAAATTTAATTAATTAAAAATGCCTTTTTTCATTTACACACACATTTTCACTCTTTATCTCCACTCTCTCATTGCAGCCGCGTGACTTTGCCATTAACCGTGGAAGAGGTAAGAGACAAAATTATCCTGCCACTCCATGGTATTTATAGGGTTACATTTCTTCCCTCTTTGCTTCACAGTATCAAATAGCACAATTATTCTCGGTGGCGGAGGCATCAAAGGAGAACACGGGCGGCGGCGAGGGCATTGAGGTATTAAAAAACGAAGCCTTCGAAAATTTCCCATTGTTGGGTAAGCAGCTTGCCAATTAACGAATGTTTTACTTTACTTATCTTTGCACCTCTCCCGTTCTATAGGCGGCAAATATAATTCCGGTCAGTATACATATAAGATCTACCATCTGCAATCAAAAGTTCCAGCGTACATAAGACTGTTGGCGCCGAAAGGCTCATTGGAGATACACGAGGAGGCATGGAATGCTTATCCTTATTGTCGAACGATTATTACGGTAAATATATTCAATGCAAAAACTCTCTATAGACTTCTCCAATTTGGAAAAAGCCTTTCAAAGCCCTTTTTAAATGAATGGCAAATTTGGCAATTTGTATCAACTGAAGAGTTATTTTGTTTAAATTGATATACATTTTGTGTATTCATCACCCTAAATTGAAGGGTTTACTTTTTTATGAATTTAGAATCTTATGTGGCATTCTTTTTATGGCAATCTATGCGAAGGGAATCGCGATGAATTCTAAATATACAAATTAAGCGAATATTATTACAAATAAAGATTCTTTTTGATGATCTTGAATTAAAAACCATTTCATGATCTGCCGGTAAATTGCCTGCCTATTTAATTTATTACCAAATCAAAAATTTATCAAGTATATCGTACTATTTTCGCTTACCCAACTTTGTGTTTAATAAAGATGATTTATTTAATTATTTTCATATTATTAATTAATATGTTCATATAACTGAAACGAGTTGGAAAATCATATTATTATGTATTTAAACTATATTGATTATAAATGCACCCTTTTCTAGAATCCCAAATTCATGAAAGATGCATTCAAAATAATCATCGACACGTTGCACGTCGGCGATGCGGGAGACTCAGAGAATGTAAGTGAAATTTTAATGCAGTGTTTAACTAATTCGTTTGTTTCTTTCTTTTTCTTCCTTTACTTACACTATAATTATGCATAAATACTAACAATATTTAAAAAAAAAAAAAACAAAAAACAAATATCGAAAACTGTCTTAAAACCGATCATTTAACATTGCAAATTCGTTTTTGATTGTGGAATTTTCAATTCAAACTTCATTGGGTGCGTTTTTGTTTGTGCATTTTGTTTATAATTTGACTGTTAATTGTTAGAATCCCCGCTATATGAATCAAAATTTTTTTATACATGTTGATTCACTACATTTTGCCGGCGATTGTGGCACATTGAATAATGTGAGTGTTTTGGGTATTATCTATCATTTGATTATATTTTATCTTTGCTTATTTCTTACCTAAATCATTATGTTTTCTCGCTTAAAGGTTGTTCAAAACTTGTTTCATATGCATGTCTCTTGTGATAGCCGCTAGCTACTAACCTTTTATTGTACTTTTAATCGCTTTGAATGTGTTGTCTCTTAGCTCTCAGCGTAATTCCAGTTCTAAATCGCAAATATTTTGATTATCATACTTGCAGGTGCACGAACTGTCGCCCGATAAGCTGAAAGTGCGCGAAGTGGTGCACATTGACATTGCCAATGATCCGGTCCTGCCAGCGGACTATAAGCCCGAAGAGGATCCGACCACGTAAGTTCTAACACTCTAAATCCCTTAATATACCTATGATATACATCTATCTATTCTTTTACGCAGCTACCAGTCAAAGAAAACTGGTCGTGGACCTTTGCTGGGCGCGGATTGGAAAAAGCGTGTAGATCCTGTGATGACCTGCTACAAGTTAGTCACTTGTGAGTTCAAATGGTTTGGCCTGCAAACAAGAGTAGAAAATTTTATACAAAAGTCAGAGCGACGTCTCTTCACAAACTTTCATCGGTAAGAGAATGAACCACAAATCCAATATGAAGATGTCGACAGTAAAGATTTTAATTCTGTTTTACAGTCAAGTTTTCTGTTCAACTGATCGCTGGCACGGTCTTACAATGGATGATATACGCGCCATTGAGGATAAGGTTAAAGAGGAGCTGGACAAGGCGCGACAGACGGGCGAGGTGCGGGGCATGCGTGCGGATGGTGATTAAATATAGTAGAGAATTTTTAAATATGTACATGTAAAAACACAAAACAAAAACTATGATAAAACAAACACAAGCAACTGAATAATATAAATTGAAATGCATAAATAAATATACAAACCTAATTTAAAAAGAAAATTAATAAATATTACAAACAACAACAAAAGAAAACACCAAGTGTATAACAACAACAAGATAAACAGCAAAGCATAGCTCTAGTGTAGCGCCCGCACAGTCCCTAGCCCCCAGCCCCACACGGCCCCCAACAACAACAATAAGCAACAAGCAATAACAACAGTGCCCGTTAGTTAAGTTTTTATTTTGTATGTAAAATGTAAGCAGGATAAAAACACACACAACCTCACATACACACACACAGACACAGACTGGACAATTTAAATGGACATCCCGCCCAACCACAAGCCTACCCAATAAAAGTCACACTAGCGTTAAATATAAAAAATGTAATCGGATAATTAAAAGTTGTTTCCCCGAATTCAATTTGTATTATTAAAATGAACCGTTTAAGTTGGAACTGTAAATGAAACTAACTAAATGACAGCCAATGTAAAAAATTTAACAGTAACTGCACCAAATAAAAAAAAAGGAAAAGCCATTAAAAAAAATATATAATTATATATAAAATGAAATGAAATAAATAAAAAGTGCATCGAAGCCAAGCAAAACCAACAAACAAAAGCCGAAATCAACTCAACGGTTGGCTTGCAATAGCTATAGATATTTACACACAAACACACACACACACACACAGATGAAAGACAGGACAACTTTGGTTCACTAGCATATGCAAATTGTGCCACGGATTTGCATTTGGAGATGTGGAAAATGCTAAATGTTATTCAAAGTTTGAGTTCATGAAATATTTAAAACTATCCAGCTGTACAGAGAAATCCATAGAAAACGTTTTTCATTTATGTTCCGATATTCTATGCATACAAAATATTGCAGTACCAAATGAATTACATGTTAAATACTTGTAATTTCTTTAAATCTCGATCTGATCTCTTGAGTAGACTTGTTTGTGTCACAACTTTTCCGTTTGATAGTTCTGCACAATACCAATCCCAAGGCAGACTACTACAATTAGTTTTAGAAATTTCAACGAATTTGTTTTCTGTTTAACCAATATATAATAATATGTACTGCCAGAATTGTATGTAATGTTAAAAAATACTATACACACTTAGGGGCACCTCTTAACAACTTCGAATTCCGCTCTAGGCACACCGAATACTTCAAGTACTTGCCGCTATTCTCTGCTCAAAGTATATATATTATCTATCTATAAAACGTCCATTTTAAAGAAAACCTAATAAACGGCTTTTAAAAGAACTCTTTAAAAACTATAAAACAAATTAGTGACACTCTATTTTCATGAACGCAAAGGAGCCCCCCCCCCTATAAAAGAGTATAAATATATATAGTGAATAAAAACATGCTAAAAACTTTATTTAAACTATAGTGAAATTAATGGAACCTCATAAGCTTAAATCGTGGATTGCAAAGAGTTCAAAAATATGCGAAGTATAATAATAAAAATTATGCTGCAAGTATTGCATATTTAATGGGGCGACTGCGTTTGTTTTCAAAGGCAATATGTGAGACGGGTTTTTCGTTCGAACCTTGACACACACACACAGACACTGGTACACACATACAAATATGCAAACGATGCATTGACACTGTAAATACGTTTGTATGCTGTCAATATGTATGTGTGTATGTACATTATACACACACACACACACACACGGTAGTAAAAAAATATATTTGAAAATATGTTAACATCAAATGCGTTATAAGATAAATATTCAAAAAATAAATATGTATAAATATAAAATTGTTATTTGCTGTGCGAGTGAGTTCCCGTTCAATTTCGTTGGTTCGTTGGCTGGTTTACTTATACAGCAATTTTACGATAACCTACTAATGTCTACACATACACATACACGCATACGCAATAACTCTTTCCAAAATGCGCTCTAAATGTTTATTCGAATTTATTTGTACTTCAATCTGAAAATGAAAAACTATACGAGTACATTTGTATATTCGTATGTGTATTCAATTCTTTGCAACGGGTCTACAGATATTTATTCTTATATGTATGAATGTCAGGCGTGTGTTTTTTTTAATTCCACTGATGATTGACTCTTTGTAAGGAATGTTCAGGCTTCGGCATTGTCGGAGTTAGCTATTCTCTATTTTTTCATTTGTAGCAACTGTCGAGGGACTCAATTTTCAACAATAAATCCATTTAGGTCCCATTATCAAATCAATAAGCAGATCTCATGTTATTGGCCTTGGGAACCAAAACTTATTGCACACATTCTACAACAAAAATACAAAAATTAGATTTGAAATACAATTTAGGCATTCAAATAAAATATACACCACGAATCTAGAGAATTAAAACAAAAACACAAAAAAAAAAACGAATATTACATTTTCATAATTACGAGTTAAAGCCAATAACAATGAACATTTATAAATAAATATAAATATTTTTAAAATAAATTCGCGTTCAAATTTTATTAAATAAATTTATCAACAAAAAAAAAAAAATTTGTTTTAATTAAAATTAATGTTAATTGCGTATAATTTGAAAATGTAATAGGAATGATAATAATAATTATATATACATAAATCACTTTAAATTAAGTTAAACTAAAATATGTACGAGTAATAATGAAACAAGTTATAAGCTGTTAAAAACATTGAAAATACATATTGTATTGTAGCAAATATTTTCATTAAAAAATTAAAAACAAAATAAAGCATTATTAATGACATATAAACCACATTTTTATTATACAGACATAGATATATATAAGAGATAGGGTATTTAAACACAGATACACATGGATTAATAATTGGCTGTTGTTCTCTTCAGTCTGTTAGCCAAAAGAATTGACGCACCTCCTCCTCATTGGAGGGTCGGCAATGCGGCGGCGGCTCAATCAATGAATTACGCAGCGCCTTCATAGCCAGCGTATTTCGCTGGGAGGCCAGCGAGAGATCAATAATGCGCTGCGGATAATGAAACCCAATGAGGCACTCGTTGAGCTCCTGCTGCTCGGATGACATACGCCATGGCTCGTGGCTAAAAGAAGAAGAGAACGCAGTTGGTAAAATAAGTTAATAATTATTATTTAAAACAGTATAACCGCGAGGTCTCAATGCAGAACACTTATATTCCAAATATATTCTTGAGGATTGAGGATTTGTATTTCTAAGTCAGGGCGACTCGATTTGTTCTTATATGACAGTGTAGGGTATTTGTCAGTTTCCTATGCATTCTATCAATGAGCTACATTCGCAAATAATTTATGTTTACGCCAAACTGAACTCACATGAACTCCTTGGGCACGTTCTTTAGCTCTGGCACGTACTGCTTGATATAGGCGCCATTAGGATCGAGACGTTTGGATAGAGCCACCGGACAGGTGACCAGCGAGGAGTCCAGCAGTCGCTCGAATGCCGAACTGGACACCCACATCCAGTTGCCAGCACAGACAGACCAATCCGCATCCAGCAGATACTTGAGAAAGTGCTCCACTCCCAGCTCCCAGTTCTGCCAGAGACCGCCACGGGTCAGGAATGTGGCCACCGTGTTGCGCAGCGTATGATGCAGCCAGCCCTCAGCGAGCAGCTGCCGCATGGCGCCATCGATCAGTGGGAAGCCCGTCTGGCCCAAGCGCCAGCGTTGCAGTTGATCGGCATCCGGTTTGGACCAGGGTATGCTCAGGCAGATCTCATTGCCCTCCATGCGATCGTACTGCGGATTGTTCACCGACATCGTGTAGAAATATTCGCGCCAGATCAGCTGTCCGGTGATGTGCGCACCGCCCGTCATTTGGACGCCTCTGACGCAGGCGCGCATCTGCACACTCTTGAAGAGATCATGCATGTTCCAATAGAATCGGCGCACCGACAGGCAACCGAAACGCAGATGGGCGCTCATCGACTTGGGCGTTTCCAAAATGTTGGGCAAGGCCTGATTGGGCAGATAGTAGCCCCGCTCGAAAGCGTGCTCCTCCACCTTGAGGCGCTCACCGAGCAGCGACAGCGCCTGTGTCTCACCGCCGACCCAGTTCATCTTGGCCAGGTAGCCCATATTATCGCTGTATATGTTAAAGTCTTCCGGCGTCGGTGTCTTCTCAAAGCATCCGATATCTCTGCGCAACTCCGATGGCAGCTGCGCAATGCTAATGCCCTCAAAGTTCGGATCATGCATGGGCCTTGGCGGCAAGCCAATAATTTGCACCGTGTGCTGTGAATGATGAAGGATGTACTTGGATAAGTAACTGGCAACCAGTTAGATGGCAGCAACAACTTACCAAGAACATCTGATAGGTTAGCGGCGCAATGCCGCCGTTCGTATCGATGACCGTGCGTGGATCCCACAAAGTGTGCGACACCTTCTCCACATACTCGATGCTCAGTTCGCGGCAAAGGCTTTTTATTGACTCGTCGCGTTCGTTCCAGATGGGCTCGCAGTCCTGCTCCACGCAGATCTTGTGCAGACGCACCCGCTCGTGCAGCCGTCGAAAGATCTGTGTCGGCTGGCCCTGGCACATGAACAGACCACCCCGTCCCTCGATAGCCTTCTGCAGCTGCATATCGATGTCCTGCAGCGAGTCCAGCAGGAATCGCATCCGATTGTAGCCAACGCTTTTGGTGCCTAGGAAGGGGATTATTATTGGATGTAATTCATTGGATTGGATTATTGGTGCCCAGAGAAATACATTTGTAACCTGAGAAATTGGTAATATATCAATATTAATATGCCTACGAGCACTATTTTAAATATAAAAGTTTGTCAGCCTTTGTCAATTTTCAATTTTCAATTTTCTTTTGCCTTTTGATTTCAGATTTAATATTAATAAATATTTAATTAAATTTAAATTCCTAGATCTTTTCCTTTTTATTTGCCTTTTAATTTCAGATTCAATACTAATAAATATTTTGTTAAATTTAAATTCCTAGTTAGGTTAATTGGGTTGACATCCGTATTAAAAAAAAATTAGGTTTAAATTTAAAAAAAAGAAAAAGCACAAACAACATCACAAATGAGGATTTTTGTCTTTTGTTTTTATATGAAATTTGGCAGAACTTTTTAAAGATTTAAAAAAAGTTTATATCCGCCCAGAAGAATGAATATATTAGTATCAATATTTAAATATTAAAATAACGACTGTACTTCAATAATATTAATGAGAGATTTTATATTTCGTATTTTCAAAGCTCGACATAATAACTTAATGAATACGTGTTTTTTAGCGATTTGGCAAATTCTATCCCCAGCAGTAATTAGCGAAAAACGGTTGTATGAAACTTTTTTGATTACCACCCGATCGGTCTCAAAATCATTTCCAAAGATCTTCGTGAACATTTATTTAATACGTTCTTGGGTGGCGAATTCTGATCGGAGATTGAAAAACTAAAGTTTATTCTGTAGCTTCAAGATTCTCACCGCAAGACTAACATGTACGAAAACCTTTAATTCCAGCACTTGGTTCTTTACTCGATGAACCTAAAACATATTTGTACTTTATTTTAATCTATCACGGACGTCTACTTAGTGGAAAGGTAATATCTAAAACTTTTAGCACAAAATGCTCCACGGACAAGGCCGGGCAATAACCGCTAGTATATATACATATATAATATTTATTCTAATTGTTAGCTGTTAGAATCAACTGTATAATAAGTTATATAAGTATTTATTCATATAAGTTTTTTTAGGTTGTTCCTTTAATAGCGATTAAATTAAAAGTACAAAGCATTAAAGACAAACAAAAATTGGAAATATCTTTAATAGGTGCAATCCTGGTCTTTAATTTTTGGTAACACACGCTAATAATAAGATGTATGAATTTCCTACGAAGAAAATTTATAATCTGATAATATGCAAATTAAAATTCAATTTTCATTTAATTTATCTAAATAAATATAAATATATAGAAATTGAATTGTTTAGTATATATATATTATATAGTGCTTGTAATTTTTATAATAATACGATTTTTTTATCAATATACAATAATTAAATGTACTTTAACAAAAACATAAAAATGAGAGTTATACAACAAAGAAAATTATAACATTTGATTCGAATTGTAAAAAGTCATATTAAATAATATAACAAACGGTTTTTTTACTTTTTACATTCTCTTAATCAGTGTGGATCATTGTGGGTCACGACTTTAAGTATTTATTTAAATAGTATTTCCGATATCCAATTGGCATGTATTTACCGGCACAGTGCTGTATATGTTTATATATGCATAGATATGCGCCATTAATCGTGTATACGAATAACCATTATTATCAGAGGAAGGCTCTCTGAGAAAGTAATTGCATTTGATTTCGCTTGATTCTCGCTTCTATCTCCCTCTCGAACGCTCTACCTATCTCTGTCTCTGTTTCTCTTTCAGTCTTGCACACATTAGAATGCATCGTTTGTTTGGCTAAACAAACAGAGTTGATTGCACCTAAACACGAGCATGGGCGCTCGCGGCCGGCTTCCCCCCTGGACATGGAAACTGCTTCATTTGCATGCACGAGAGGTGCAAGACGATGCTGTCCACTAAATATTTGGTAATAAAAAAGTCACTGACTTGCACGGTTAGCTCATACTAGTAGAGCGCCGCGAGCGTACAGGCCGCAGGAAACTGAATGGGATGGTTGGACACTTACCCGCGCTCTCGCCATCGAAAATGAAGATGGGTATCAATGCAACACCATGATCTTTGTCGGACAGTGCGGCCAATAGGGCGGGATTATCATGCAGACGCAAGCCGTGCCGAAACCAAATCACATTCGCACCACGCAGTGCCATGCTGATGATCTATGCAGAATTTATGAATTAAGTTTTTGCAACTGCAACTTGAATTTTCCAATCTTCCGTGCATGCGACGCGCTCGCGCCAACGTTCAATTTGCGAATGGGGCAACTGCGACGACGTGGACTGCGACTATGAGTGCAGCTCACTTGGGGGACGACTGGGGCGCTTTGGAGCGTTGGCTTTGATGTGTTCTCATCGCTGCCGAGTGCGTCAATGCAAAGCAGAGCGCGCGCGTGTCCCGCTCTCCCTCTCTCTCGCTCGCTCTCTCTCTCTCGAGTGTGTGCGAATGTATCTGCGTTTGCGTGTGTGTGTGTGTGAGTGCCAATGGCAGCGGGCAGCAGGCAGCAGGCAGCACTTAACACATGGCCCGTTGCATTTTGAGCACTACGCTCAGCTAAACCAGAGACGCCCCCGCACCCGCCATAGCAAGCGCCAGTCGACTACAACCCCAAAGCTCAACTGCTGCTGCTTATTACGTCGCATGCATTTTATGACCTCACCGAGGGTATCTTAACTATGCTGTTAAGTTTGCGCTGTGCACAAAGAAAAAACTTTGACCATTTTATCGTAAGATTTTGCTGTACCAAAATGAAATTTCATTTAATGAAAAATTAAAAAATAAAATTGATAATAAAATTAATAATAAAGGTTATTCTTATCGCTTATAATTAATAATTATCAGATGCAAAATATATTTTAAATACTTATATCCACTGTCATCAAACTAAGTATTATATATTTTTAAATATTTTTTACTATTATTATTATTATTTATTATTATTTATATGAAGAATATATATATAGATGAACACACGATCATTTAAATATGCACAATTTTTGAGGAACTTTAACGTAGCATACTTTTAAGAAATTTTTCATTGCCAAATTTAATAAAAAATATCATTTTACTCTTGTAATGATTTGTTATTACATTTTGTACAAAACAAACATTATACGCCGTTGTACAATAAAACCAAGCTAGTCTCTTCGTCTCTTTGGCATAGAGCATGCTTTAGGAAAAGGGAGCGTGAGAGAGCGGGGTAGCGAGACAGAGAAAGAGCCAAGGATAAAGAAAAGTTTGTATTGTAATACCCTGTTGCCATGGAAATGGGCTTAAAGGGTATAAGGAAGGCTTGCGTATAAAAGTGTTATGCAAGAGTATTTTTTATGAAAAACATTTTTTTCAGCGTATCTTGACCAGACTTGATAATTCTGAGCCTCTCTATGCCACGAATAATTGAGCTAAAAATTATCAGCATGCAAATATTCCATAACGCATTATAGAAACATAGCTGTGTATTACATATAGAAATATTTGGTAAATCTACAATATCTGCAAAAATATTTATTCTGCGGTATTCTACAAATAAATGTTTTGTCTTGTTAATTTTATTTATATAATTGTTCTTATATCCTATACTATGCATGGAAAAGTTCCGCCAAGGGAAAACTTAGGGTATCTCCTAGTCGATATAACATTCTTGCATTTTTTACAGATGCACCTGAGGAATTGATAACTGATTTGCCTTGTTGACTTTATTTATATCATTGTCGACATACTATACTATACTATGCATAGGGTTCAAAAAGTGCTGCTTAAACCGAACGTAGGGTATCTCCTAGTCGATCACTCTTGGATATTACATTCTTACATGTTTTACAGTTGTGCTTGTGGAATTGACTATCCATTGAGGTTTCAACTGTTAACCTAAGCTTTCAGCCGGCTTTGTAGCCCCAACCCCATGACCCAGCCCACCCCACTCGTTTGTGTGTGCATCGGAAACTGCAGCTTTGCATGTCGGCAAGAGAAAAGGGGTATTTCGTGACGGACACAGGGCAATATTGGTAACTACAAGCTGCCACTGTCAATGCATTGGCCCAAAGTCCACCAACGCACGTGGCCCACGTGTCCAAGCCAAGAGCTCTACCTACTAGAACAGCAACCACGAACAAAGCCTTGCAATTTCAAATTAATGAAGACGAAGAGTGAAATGAAGGGGAACGTGCCGCAGCAAACCTGATAAGAAATGAAATGCCGCACAATGGTAAAGTCAACCACTTGAGCTAATTTGCAGATACGAATCGACGTTGATGACAGAAATGTGCGGAGTCTGTTTTAGGGAATGTTTGTGATTTTCTCTGTATAGCATAGTTAAATGAGATAAATGCTTAAAATTAAAACTTTAAATTGTTTATAAAGAAATGGCTCAACCATTTTTTTTTTAATTTTTGTGCCTAAAAACTGGTTCGGTGCACGGTTCGAAGCAAATCTTTGCCTTTCGTCTCAATATGATTAGATAAATGCTTTGGGACTGAGCTCCCTCGAAAGTTTTTTATCTAAAGCTAAATGTAGAAAAAATATATTAAATGTGGTTCGATCTTATGGCTCGGCTGTTTAACCAGTTTGATTTAAGGTTCGGTCCTTGGTAAGAAATAAATTTATATTCTGGGCTCGAACCATTTTGGTTCAAAGCCGATTTGCAGCCTTAGTTGTAATAAGAGTAAATTAAAAATTATTTGTGGCAAAGTGTTTTAAGTATAAACTAAATTAAAGCTCATGGACAATCAATAACAATAACGTGAACAGGTTGTCTGTATAGAACCTAACTATCCGATTTGAGTTTTATATGTATATAGAATGCATATAAATACATATATATTATAGATACATATAAATCTTTTATCTAAATCTGCACAACTTCTGCACTTTGTAGCTTATAACAAGGTCAAGCACATTTTTGACCATTTTATAGACCTTTGCCGCCCACTGTTCGCCTGTTACATTGGCTGCCCAGGTGCGCCGCTTTGAGTCCTTTGGGCTCCTTGGTTCAGCTGTCGTTTGTGCCCTGCCGGTTGCTAGTTTATTCTTTTGCTCAGCACGTCACCAAGGACTTGACGGGCTTGGTTTCTTTGTGCAATCAGGACACACACACACACACACACATACACACACGCACACACAGATACACATGCACACCCGCACACTGGGGACAATGGAACGTTGGCTTGTATGTCATCTTCCGCCTGCAGTTGCCACTGTTTGTATTGATGGTTCATTGCCTTACATCATTCCGAGCTCACATTCATGACATTGTAGTGAATGCTGAATTGCAGATTGTTGCACGATTGATTGTTAAATAAATTTTATATAATTTACAGTTGTGTATTGAAAATTGTTTGTTACTTATGTCCAGTTATGAGTGCTCCGGCTGCCATTACATACCTTTAGACCATGTGACAGTAAAATGCCCCCTGGCTCAAATCAGTAGCAGTTCTAAGACAATCATTCACAGATTTGTTCATGCAAAGTCAAATGCGCAGACAATCAATCAAAAATGTTCCCCACAGCTCAGTGGAAATAAGAAGTTACGCATGAATTTGAATTTGATAGCTACAAGACATGTTCTTGACAGAAATTCAAGAAATATTTTGTGTTTTGTCCCTTTTTATAAAAAATGCAATTCTCTATTGACGTCATTTGCGGCTAACATAAATGAAAGTTGCCGTCTAAAATAGAATACATCACATGCAGCTGTCATTTTTCTATTGACGTCAGTCAATGTTGACTAAATTAAGACTTAAAATAAAAATGGACTGACACGTGTTTGTAATGGCAGATAAAAAGTAGAAGTGAAAATTATTTCTTAGAATTTGGCTTAGGGCTAAGTTTTGATTTGCATAATATTTAAATAATATATTTGAATAATAAACATATATTGTATTATTCTTAGACATCATTTCTTTTACACTTCTCTTGCATGGCATTACACTATTTTGATTTGAGATGTTTTTAGTGATTATTTCTATGTTATTTTCATATTCGTAAATAAATTGAAACGGAATGAGCTGCTTTTTTCTTCTAAAGTAAATTGTATTTTTTTCATAATTATTGTGGCACAGGTCAAGTGGCAAGGATTGCAATAATTAAAGTAAATATGTCATATATTCATTGATTAATGATTGTTTTGCTATGCAAAATAAAACGATTATAAGGTTGGCCTAACTACGACAACAATTTCTCAAAGAATCGGAGCAATCAAAATAAACAAGTCCGTTGCACAAGTGGCAAATCTTTTGTCCAAACCGTCTGAAAGAACTATTTCGATATATTTAATTGTACACGCAACTCCTGTAAATTACTCAAACGTTGTATTTGTTTAATTTGTATAAATTATTCTGTGATCGACACTGTGGACCATTGTTGACCCAACTAATACAGGTTCAACAATTAAATATGTTGTATACACACATATCAATCATACGCACCGTTGCACTTTTGATTGCGACACACACTCATTTATTATACACGTGGCCCTTTACTCTTGAAACGGCCATAACGAAATCAATACTCTTACTTATTAACATAATATTAATGCATCAATTCTGTCAATTCGCTTAATAGTACTTGTGATATACATATTTATGTATATATGCCCGTAATTATCTGCACTTAATTGCACTTTTTACATTCTCCGCCTGCATTTAATTATGAATTTTAATTTACATTTTAAATTCCCAAGCGCTGTCTGCGGACATTTAAATTTGCCATCGACTCGTTTTACACTTTAAAGCTGACTTTTCCGACCATTCTATTATATAGCTTGCATATGCGAGAGATGTGCCTTTTGCTTAGCTAGATAAAGCTACTTATATTGATACAACTTGCTGCTGCTTAATGTGAACGGATCTGATTCAAATATTTATTTCTATGCTGCAGATTAAAAATTGTAAGATTAATGTTGTAGATAAGATGTGTATTTTATATAAGGAGCATGGCAAAAGTCGTTGATTTCAGGTTTGGTCAAGTTATCTGGAAAAACACAAAAGTTTTTCAAGCAAGATCTTAACTTTTGACCGATTACAATAAGATATAAGTTAGAAGTTATAATAATAAAGAAATATCTTGTCTTCAGGTATTTATTGGCATTGGAAACTTTAAAACCTTTTAAAAATGCTTTTTCTTTTAAGTCATGATAATTATTGATCAAATATAGTTAAGCTTATTAAGTTTAAGCGTATACAGTAAAGCGTATTTAAATTAGGAAAAAATAATCATTAAATTTGATTGACATGAAATCATGTGTCACTTAACTGAATACC